GTATCACGGTAGAGGAAAGGTCTGAACTGAGAAATTGCATCCTTGATGCTTTACTGTCTCACTTTCATTTTCCTCACATTAATTTTGAAGGTTTTCTTGCACACTGTAAATCTCGCACATAGCATCATTTCTCAAGTGTATTCCCGACACCGTGATCCTCGTAAACACGTAATTTACTCCATTCCCGTCTGATCTCATACACTGTGTCATTTTTATATCTGAAATCCTACCTAATTTGAATACCACTCCCCGTTTCCCGACCCTGAGTATGATTCAAGAGATACGAAGCTTAAAAGTGCATAACGGCGCAACATTCACCATTAACTCTTGTTTTCTAGCCGACAGACATGGGTGCTTCGTTCCTGCTATAATAGCTTTTCATGTGTACGGGCAGGTCCTTGCACGGTGATTGCCTTTAGGCTTTGTTTCAACACCGCTGGAGAAAGCCTTGCACTCGGTTTGATTTAGCACAGTAATTCTGCCTCTACACCGTTAGCGCGTACGGGAAATTCGGCAGGTGGACTAATACAGGAAGGAGATTTTCATACATAGCCGGAGCTCTATGAGTCTAGATTTGTCACTGATCCGAGGAGGCCTTTGTTTGGTCTTTTTTTGCCTCTTTTTTTTTTATCGTAGTCCTACCGTCCCCCAAAGTTGTTAGCAAGCCTTTTGCTTTATCGTCTGTAACTGTCCGGCAATCGCCATTATCGCTATTGCTTGTGTAAGGGTTGTTTTCACCCACGAATGCGATGGCAGAAATCCCCTAGAGGCTTTTCTGATGAGAACACGACACCTAATCTCGGCAAACGGGGGAAATCGGAGTGTAGCGGAAACGTCGAGCTTTTGTCTTCATGTTACATATAGCAACCACGACAGCATAATGGTGGAACTAAGAACCTATAAAGCCAAGGTCGGCGGTAACTTTTCCCCACTGAGAGGAATCCTTTGATTTATGCGAGAGGCATTCCCCCGTTTCGCGGCCATCGGGGGCGGACTCATCAAAGCCATTTGGCCAGGTAATGAAAGTTTTTTCCCTTACGTGACACGCTAGTGATGTCCATTTATCTCATGTTGTAGGTGCAGATACCATGAATTCGGTGGGTGGAGGGAAGTGATTATTTTCGCGAGCTTGGAACGGGAAACGAGTGTTTGTTTATCGTTGTCTGATCCAGAATTGGATTCAGACGAGGAATCATGAATCAAACCACAGGTGGGGCATGTCGAGACGTAGAGGTCTCCTGCCGTGAAGGCCTCTCCTGCATCTCTTACAGTCGAATAGATTTTTTTTTTGTGCCCCCCCTTTTCCATATTATGGGAGAACTGCCTGGCTTTCGAGGAGGAGAAAGAGCCTGAGGTTGTCAAACAGCCATTTTCAGGCTTTGAATGCCATGCGAGTCTGACTTCCGCCTTACCATCGGCCATTGTGTCTCGAGTGACGAGGGAGAAGATACAGTTTCACCTTTGGATGTTTCCAGTGACTGAGGATGGATGAACGTGAATGGCAGGGTCAAAAGACAATAATTGTTTACCCTCCCAGGAACCAGCACCCGAAAAAGCCCTGTCACTCGAATAAACTCCGCAGGCTGTATACAAAGGAAAACTTCAATGCACATCATGACTTCTCGCGAAAGTTTGTCATTCGGTAAACACTAGTTTCAAAATAAATTGGAAGTCTTGCTTAACTGTGGCCTTTGTCACATCTTGCTTAAAAGCGTTTCTGGGAAAAGTAGGCGAGACAATGGACAAGGGGTTAAATCTTAACAATTTTAACGACCTACGTTTGTCATTAAAATATTTCTGAAGTTGATTGCTTAAACCATAATTCCACTGCAGGACTGTCATTTGAAATTCCTCTGCTGAGTTCCCGTGGAATTGATGTATGAAACAAGGATTTATGCATTGATGACCAAACATCCTCCAACAGTATTGCCGATGCATGTAGGCTTACATACGAAATTTAGCCCGGAATCAAAAGTTCTGGGTAGCTTACTGGATCTGATTTCTGGCTGCCGGTACCCTTCAACAGAATTCGTAGCCTCGAAGTCGACGAAAACAAAGGCTACTAGATTTTTAGAACCTTCATATACAAAAGCGGCATAGGAAACCGCGTGACGTTACGCCACTAAAAGGGGACAAATAAGACTTGGGGCTACGAGAGTCGCTCTGGATAAACCGCGAACCAAGCAGATTGCGGGGAAGCGTCAACAAGACAGATTTCTCCTTGTCGTTCACATTACTGGAGTCACGCTATGAATCGTTCTTGGTCTTGTAAATCTAGAACACTGGGTTCCAAAAAAATCATGGGTGCCTGAGTGGAGACTTAGAATGTGACATGTCATGAAAAGATGCAGTGATGGATTTTTCTTGATTCCCATCATTAGTAAGCAATGCATTAGTATTATGCCGTGAAATTTGCCCCGACAAGTATCGTAATTATAATACCGAGTCATTAATGGACAGAACCATCCAAAAATATGGCACGCAAGGAGGCGTTCGCACGCTTTCTTGCTTAGTCACCAAGAGAAACGGAATGCCAAAAAAAAAACAAATTCCTAACATGCTCTATCATATATGCTCATATATGCTCTATATATGTATTTAATATGTTGTTGATGCTAACCAATTCAAACTTCCAGTACTTCTCCCAAGCAAGGTAAAACTGTGAAGACTGTACGTGACAAGCCATCGGCTGCAGACACTTATGTTTGCCATATTATAGTGAGATGTGAAATCGATGTAACTCAGTCAATCCAGCATTGAAGGCCCAAACACTGTAGTCAAATAGAAAGACAACAAATTAATAGGAATTATGGTTATATGATATGTACCTGCATATATAAATTCTATATATATATTATTTATTTATTTATGTTATATATAATATATATATAACAAAATATATATATTCTGATCACGCTCATGGACGCAAAAGTAGAGCACGTTGTATTTGATACGTTGTGTTCCGCTCCAATATGCGCGTCAGTGCGCCCGAATCCGCTTTTGTAGAGTATACTTCATACTACTGAGTCGGTTCCGTTTTCGCGCGCAACGCATTCGTGCGCTTTGTGTTCTGCTGTACTTTAAGGGTGCACACGCACTTATACAGGAGTCATTTCAAAGTTGTTATGTAAATAAATAGGTCGAAAGAGGACGCCGCTCCTCTCGCGATGCATACCCGTATTTACAACCTTTTTAAGGGAGCTCCCCTGTGCTCCCCTGTATTCTCTGAACTTGTTAAGCCAGGGGCTTGTTCAACGCTTTTGCTAAAACTTTAATCTAAATCTGAACCACGAGATGTCATGTACAAGTGCGGTCTTGGGAATAAGAAGATGAAGCTAAATCCTTGTTTTCGGTTCTATTGAACCTTCAGACATCTGTTGATTGGCCTCAGGCTTCTACTCAAATCCTGTCTTGTCTTGCTCGCTTCACCTATTCAGACGGCTTTCAGATGAGGTACAAATTCGGGTTTTCATTTAGCCCTGGCAAGGAACTCGGCGCTTTAGACCATTTTGAAATGATATCCAGGTTTAGATTTACGTTCACACAGGCGAGGGAGCCCTAGGCAACAACATAACGGCCACATTATATCAAGAGGAAATATTCAACTCATTATTGTTTCTCTGAATGAGCTGTATAAATCCTAACTCCCTTTTGCGACATGCAGTTGCTTTAGCCAATCTTTCTGCATTTCACCCAGTGATGCATCATCCTTGTGAAGATAGGATTCGTCGGAATCATGCAGATGCCATTAAAAAATAAAATAATACGGGAATGACGGGGACAATTTTATAGCCTATTTGCATCATTCGTATAGCTGGAAGTTTTCATTTTTCATGTTCATAAAGGTGAGGTCTCGCGTCTTAGGATGTGTCATCTTAACGTGCAGAAAATTAGGCTTCGAGTAAGAGTTGCTTTTTGCACCATTCGTGAATCCAGGACAATTCTGACGCCCTGAAATCTACTTTCCTTCCTTAGATTTGGGGGAAGGACGTAACCTGATTGGATTTTTGTTCTATTTTGTAGAGGTTTTTGACCTCTAAGTGCATGTTTCCCGAGAGCAGTAAAAAAAAAGTGTTTGGTCTTTACGTAGAGTTCGTTACTGCCTCATTTGTTGAAATACAGATCAATGAACATGTTAACTTTTAACATGTTCATTGATCTGTATATCTTTTACATAAACTCGTTTTCAGTATTTTTCATCTCTTGATAACTCTAAGGTACATCCATGTGCTGAGAGGAATCAGCACAAGCCCTCTATTTTCATTATCTGGTTAAAAGAGAGAGCATCTTTGAGAGAACTTTTATCAGCATCATAATGCTCGAAATGGGAGCTGATGTATTGAGACTCCTGAGATATCTTTCCGTCTGCAGTTAGTCAGATCCATCGACACTGCTTGGTTTGAAATAGGTGAAGTAGTTTAGCTCTAAAGCAGCCTGTGCATATTGCATATTGAGTACTGTTAAGTCCACTCGATACAAAAGTAAGTGATTGGTGTCGAATAGGCGTGCCTTTGTGCAAGAACAACCTAATCCATTCTTGCCAAAATCGGTTCAATAGTTCTTACACTAGAGCAACCTAGGGAGTGGTTGTTCAAGTAATCCCTCGTCCCCCCTAGTGGTGTTTCATTTCCTAAACAAATAATAAATACTTATTGCAGAATGTAGGAGCACTAAATAATATTTAACCGAACCAGCAGGACAACAATTCAGAATAAAATGTCGAGGATATTCTGTCATGTTTTTCATTTTTCCATGTTTTGTTATTTTCTTCAAATCCACCCTTATAACGATGTTGTCTAGGGGTCGCTTGCCTTGTGGATGCAATAAATCCGAGTTCCCGCCAATGCACGCAATTGCCTCCATTTGCGAGTCTCTAAATGTCCCCACTGGCATTGGCCCCATAATTACATGATAATGGCACTGGGGCTTCCCAAAGATATTGTCTGCTTTGTTGCCAGAAGCTTTACGAATGCGTGTGTGTTTTTTTTTTCTTTCCGCAGTTGTGTGATGCAGCCATTGGTGTTGCTACTTGCCCCGTATATTGTATTGTACTGGCCCGTGACCTCTGGTCACAAAGGATGCCCAACTGAATGCCTCTGTTCAAAAGGGCTCGTGGACTGCTCCTACAGGAGACTGGACCATGTCCCATCCTTGTGGCCACCAGACACCTTGAAAATGTGAGTGGCGCCTCTCTCTCTCTCAATTGCCTTTCCCTCTTTCCATCATAGAACTACCCTCTAATGGCATATACTGGTAAGAACATTCCCCCGATGTATTGATTCCATGAAACGGAAATCTTTCAATGGTGCGCTTTTTCCTCTTTCGACTTTTCTCCTCCATTTCATAGCCCTCTAGAGAACAATGGGACAGTTTCATCCGACGGACAGGGGGAGGGGGAGAAGACTCCCTGTCGCATACCCAAGTCACATGACAGTGCGGTTTCAATAGTCTCGCCATGCAAGGGCCAGTCTCATTAAAAGACGCTGATGGATTTTTAAAAATGGAACAGTCAAAACCATTTTTGGATAGAGGTCCGTGTCCGCGGGGGGCTTCAGATGAGAGCCGTCGACCGAGTAATGTTCTAATGAGGGGAATTTAAAGAATGAAAGAAAGCAGACTCTGTTCTCCAGTCTGTTCTCTTCCCTTTTCCCCCAGATAGATTAGGTTTAGCCAAGAGGATGGGTCGTTCGCTAGACGTCTCAGCTAGAAATGGTAAATGGTGATGTGGCTGGGCGCCCGCTTCAGGCGGCTTGCTTGTTTCCGCCGAATCTCTCTTCTTCTTCTACCCGAGGAAGTCCCCCACTCCCCCCGCCCCCGTTCTTCCTATAATGGTCCCCGTCCAAAATGTATTGAATGGCGGCAAGGAAAGAAACGTGGGTAATTTATGATTCGGTCTGAAGGCTGGCCAGCAACCCTTTCTTCTGTTGGACATGCTTCACTTCCAACCGACTTTAACCAGAGGGATGCTCATGTTTCATAGGGGAACGTTATACTGCAGAACTCATTTCCTCTCCTTTTCAATTCTCGTTCATCATACCTGGGAAGCTGTTGAGGTGACGGCTGGCTAATAATTCTGATGTATCATAGACAAGAGGAGGGGGGGATGCAGAGATTGAGGCCATTAGTAACCTTTCACGTGATGGGTGGAGATCTTCCTTGTTTGCCTCGTTGGACCTCCTCCATTCAGTGGAGATTCCTAGTGTACTTACGAAGATAAGATAATGTAGCCCTACTCTGAAAACTGGAGTCCCCTTTTATCTGCTGCACTTTCCACCTGCTGTTTAAATGCCTTAACTTGTCTTCCGCATTTCCGGTCCTTCCTAGAACAGTTTCGTCATCATTTTCCCAACCACAGTTCTCGATTCACGATGGATAAAGAGAGCTTTGGAATCAAAACGTCATGTTTGTTCTCGATAGATCTTTGACGTGAAAATATCCTCCCTTCTGTGGAGATGAAAGGTACAATGATAGGAGGAAGGGAAGGGGAAGAACGGTTTTGAAAAGCGGGTAACATGTTTTCCATGCTTCAACACTTTTCTAGAGCCTGCAATTTTCCTCACTTCACCTTCTACTCTTGAAGCTCATTACACGTAGACAAAACAAGCCCATTATTGTTTTGTAGCGGATGGAAAATGTTGGGGAGCAGTCTGAACACATTCATGACATTCATTCCATTCCTGTGGTTTGAGCTGGGTTTCCTCCCTCTCTGCAGTTTGTTTTCCCTCGGCTTTCTCACTCTGCCATATCGTGTCCTCTTCCTCTCTCTCTGTCTCGTTGTGAACTCATGTTTACACCATGCCTTGTTTGTCCCTTCCTTGCATCAATACAGGATGTACTTGGTGGTCCCAGGGGAGAGGGGAGGGAATTTTGCGGTGACTGGGGTGTCCGAGGTGACACAGAATCCCTCAGACACTGCACCGGTGAAATCCGCTTTTCAGGTTCAGGTTTCATTGCATATTTTGTTGTCTGCTTTAGGGCTTCTTAAGCCCCCCAATTCACGAAAGGGATGATGACGTGGGTGGAATGTAGATCGAATGATGGCTCGACTTCGTCTCGTTTGACCCACCTTCCCGGCCCAGCACGAGCCCACCCACTTATAATGGAAGTCCAGTCCCTGCATTGCTTTAAATGCTTGCTTGGAGGTTAATTTTAGGAGCTGTCCACCTGATGCATGACGCATGGCTCTCAAACGCCCTGGGATATTCTGCTCCACATTGCGTTTTTTCGCTCCCCCTCCTTCATACTCCATAGTCCACAGGAATCGCAAGGGGAGATGTCGAAACGAAGCTCCTTCCTTTCCTTGCCGCGTCATCGCCTCAAATTACAATCCCATTACTGTGATTATGCAGTCATCACTATGATTTATTTTGGATAGAGACTCGCACGCTATGACTCTCCTCTCCCGGAGGATTCACCGTTTAGTGCGTGTGGTTGTGTGTATATACCTTGCACATGTATCCTCCTTCACTTTGTCCCTCACCAAAACGCAAACCTAAAAGATGTGATTGGATGAGATGACCACCAAATAGTGTGCGATATAGCACATGCGGTGAATACGTGTGATGCTGAAATGCCTGCATGGGGTCACTGGACCATCAAATGAAAGGAAACACCCGTGTTGCATGGATTGCCGATACCGCTATCCGAGTTTTCATACAAGTAAGCATTAATTAAATTAACACGTATACACGAAAATGTTCTTAAGCGTCATTGGAGAATGAAAGTCAACCCCGCAGAAGAATCTTCGCTGTTAGCAGCACATGGCTTACGAAGTTGCTGTTGCTTATTGTGCTACAGGTTCTCCAGAAAAGGGATTCAGGGTGGTCTCTCGTCGCTCTTCCAATGAGGGATAGACGAAGACCTCTCTCTATGTGGTTGGAAAATGTGTAGTCTTCCCTCCGCTCCCCCATTCCGCTGGAATGAGACAGGGAGTAGGCAGTATCTGTAACGACTTTCTTTTCATGATATCTTGGAAGGACTCCAGGAATTTCTGAATGGAACGAAAAAGGGGGTCCCACTGTTGAACATGAGATTCGGTCTTTATTTTCTCTTCTTTCGACTTGCACATCACGTTACATTTCTTCCAATCCGAGGGGACGGGTAATATTCTCGTCCCGAAGGGGACGTTGATCATGTTACAAGATGAGCAATAAGTCTTGGATAAGAGGAAAACCATTTGATGCAGGATTGTGATTGAGAGACAACGTTCGATATGGAGAGGAGTAGCCTATCAGAGATCAAGGAATATGACAGGGCTCAGGACATGGAGAAGAGGGATCTGATTGACTGAGAATTCTGAGGCAAGAAAATGGGATTCCGTGTCTGGCTGAATGGATGGGGCGGAAATGATGTGCAGAGAGCAAGGCACGTTGTGGATATTGCACACCCTTGGCCCGAGGAAATGGCTAATCCTCCCCGCATTCTGGCGCTCGTTGCCAGGGTTTCCCCTGCTCTTGCATTCCTTGTCCCATGCTCTAAGGGAAGACTCATACATAGTATTTTCCGACTGGTTGCAGTCCTTACTCTTTTCCTTATTCTTTTCCATTATGACCTTCAGATCTGGGAGATAAAAGGAAATGGGGCTTCTTTGGTGCACTGTCGGCTGAAATTTTCATCTCTTTTCCATTTCTCCATATCTGACTTTGATGCATCAGAATCCCATTTCATCTCGTCGGTTTCTCCACATGGGGAGACAAATCGTCTTCCTTCGTCGGTTCTCTCTTTTCGCCTTGAGCGAGCTGTCTTCTTGATGCCTGTGAATGCGATTCTCATGTCCTCAGTTGCCACATAGAAGATAGACATGCAGCTACTGCCTCGCCCAATTCCTCGCTCTCAGTCTCGTAGCCTGCTTCTCTATTACTCTCGTCGCTTCTGTATGGCCATGAGATCGGGGTATCGACGACCTTCAGCGAGAAGTGCCCTCTCATCGGTGATGTTCCCTCTTGAGTGCTTCGCGGTCTCGAGTACTTGAGAGGTGCTCCTGTCTATTCCCACGATGGAGACCGAACTGGAGACAAACCTACTTTTGCGTTTTCACCCACTACGTCCCTCAACTTCCAGGTGTTGAATGGTCACCTGCGCTCAGACTCGAAAACATGGCGTTTGGCATCCGGCGCTTGTTGGGAATACGGGAAGAGGAGGAGGAGGCGTTAATAAAGCCCCAGTAGAGAATGTAGCTCGTGTATAATGACAGTTATCCATCTCTGTCAGGAGGATCATGGTCGCTGCGTTGAATTACCTGCCTTTATTGTCTTCAGCTCTGATTCCGGTAGCGTCAATGAAAGAGGTGATCGGTGATTCATCTTTCCTTAGCACTGATCAGACATTCTTCATCAGCAGCAGTACGAGCTATTAGGGGCTGGGTGCCTATTTTTGGAGTCCGGGGAGTGAGAAGCCATAAGAGGCGTGGTCGTCAGTGTGACATTTCATTGAGATCAGATTGATGAGGGCCAAGGGAGGGCAGCGGGGGTCCTTTCAGCACGGCCACTACCCACACCAGGGAGTCTTGGAGAAAATCTCTCAGGTTCTGCATTCCGACTCCCCTTTCCCACCCCTCCTCCGTCTAGGTGTTATTTACCCCGTTGATTTTTAATTAGCGAAGGGAGTCATTAATCAGTTATTCCGTGTGCGTTGTAATTAGCCGTAGCGAGGATTCCCGAGAGAGGGGAAAGCTGGGCTCGTTCGTCTCATTCGTGGCCCCCTTGTCACAACATCTGCTCTATCGTGACAGACTTCGGAGGTGAAATCTTGACGTCACACCAGTTTTTTTCCTCTCCCTCCTCAGTCTTCCCATGTGTTGAAACTCATTAATTGCTAATGATCCGTCAAGACATTAAAAGTATCGTGATCTTTCTTTCTCTTGGTCTCCCTGGTTTCCTCATATCCCTTTTATTCGTCTTCTGTCTCGTCTCAGTTCATTACCACCTTCCTCCTTCATTCTGCTAGCGTGACCACGACGACAGCCTGAACGAAAGGAGAAAACTGATTGCTATGGAGACTTGGCTTCGAGTTATTGAGGCCCCCTGTGTAATTACTTCCCGGAGTGATTGTGGAAAGGGTAGGCCTATAGGGAATATGTTTCCTTGGGATTCGATGGGGGCATTATGCTCCACTTAACATCATCCCCCTCTCGCAGGCCCCTCGCCTGCTTGCTTGCTTGCTTGCCTCCCTATGCAGTGCCAATCCAGCTACGCTGCCTTTGTCTTCGACTGCCCCTTATTCCCCTTAACACTGCATTCCCCGAGCTTTCTGGGGAGGGGGGAAATATGCCCATCAGTACACTGGAATTGCTTGAGAAAAAGTGACGCATGACGTCAATGGAACGAAATACCAATGGAATGAGATGTAATGCAGAAAGGAGCTCATGGTTCGCATGAACTCGTGCTCCCCACTCGTGACCTGCTTTGCATGCTTTTGCTGTTTCTATTGTTCTTATGAGATCAATTTTGGATAAAGATGTATTTTCAAATCTCGCTAAGGTAAACATTGATTAGATCAATTGCTTTAAGATAGTATTTTTCGAAATACTGCATCAGTGCTATTAAGTATTGGTCACGCTTTTGAAGTAAGGCAAGTTCATTTGGCCATTAAATCTCGGCCCCGCACCAGTTCTACCTTGAGATGATTTCGCACATTGCATCATATTTTTGACTGAGTAGAGTTGGAGTTTTCGACTTAACTGTATATAATATGATTTACTTTTAAAGTTGCGCTATTCTTATTGCACTGCACAGCCTGTTTCCTTGCTTAAACGCTTCGGAGTAATATTCCGCTTCGTTAGTGGACATGAGGCAATTTCACGTTCAGAGATGCTGTGGTTGTACGCATTATATCCATTACGCATTACGCTCAGAGTACGGTTGCTTCAAATCAAGGGATTTACCCAGAAGGAATTGAAACATGCTAACTTGCGACAGTCATTTGATGTCAAAAAAAAAAGTTATGAGAAGCGATACTGAGTCTGGTCCTGCATCGCCTCATTCTTTAATACCCAGTCAAATGTAGGAGAGTTCCTGAGAATGAAGATGACTTGGCAGTGGTGTTTCTTCTCTATCCCCGTCTATTCCTTCTGTACAATATCTAGTGTATAAACTCCGCCGGGAGAGAGCATTAGTTACGCTGGAGGGGAAAATCCTATGGGGCTTCTCATGCCTTGGAGCTCAGTCTGGATCTTCCTCCTTGTTGCTCCCAAAACATCCATAATTGCATAGTATCACCATCTCAACCCCATTTCGAGCTGATCAATCACAGGAATGCACGATTCCTTCTCTGTGGTTTATTCTGTGAAATATCATAGTTGATTACACGTATCTCTCGTCGCCACTTATCACAATCACCATCTTGATTACGAAATAAGGGTTTTTGTTTGCGTCTCGCTTGGGAAGAATGTGATCTGTGCCTCATTGTCATAACACTGCCACATCGTGCAAGTCGTGTTTTTCGGTCTAGATCACGCTCACCTTCACTCCATGTTTTTACATGAGGTTCTCGGAGGGGGTCAGGGGAGTCGACGGTTTCTCGGTTGACGTATGTAACGCTTATTTCATGGATCTGCAAGTGAGGAACAAGGCATTGTTGATACCGCGTGTGGCCTCGAGGCAGAATAGAGCAGGTGCAACACAGTGGTAGGTCCCGGGGATTGATCCCATTTTAAATGTATGGACGTAGTAAGTACACAGGGAGTCTACAGCATCCCCAACAATAATGGAGGGGTTGGTTCGTGCGTGAATGACGTGCAATATACGTACTGTACTGGAGGCTGCTTCAATCACCACCTCCTACGCTTTTTAAGCTTCAGTTCTCAGCTCCACCCACACCCGCCACGCACGAAAGAATTCTGAACATGCCTGCCATGAGAATAAATCTGGGCCTTGGCTAGCTTGTGTCTAATAGTACCCAATCATTAGCATAGGTGGATCCCCAGTACGTGAACAATGTCTGTAATCAGTCCGAGTGATGTTCCATTTTCGGTCTCCTTGGGAACTTGGAACGGATCCCCTTTAGGTCGACGTTCTATCCCTTTCTTGGCCGGATGTGGCTATCACTAGATGGTATTTTTGCTATTCTCTTGCATACGCAAAATCGGTTTTAGAAACAAACTCACGACAGGTGTCTTGTTCAAAGCAGACATAGGGCGTGGATTCAGTTTCTTTGCCAACTGGTGGTCTTTGTTAGTCCCACTCCGTTTCCTTCTTGGCTACATATTCTCTCCTTATAGATAAGTGATTGAAACATTCAAATAACATTTGACACATATGATAATTCTTGTCGTTGGTGGTCTGTTGCAGAAATCTGCAGGGGAACAACCTCACGGAGATACGCAGTGGAGATTTCGCCGATCTCTCTAAAGTCATGGCACTGTGAGTCGAAACTTCATGAATTTTTACTATATTTATATATTTGGTCTTAACGAGTATGATAGCAATGAAACAATGCAATATGGTAATAATTTAAATCAAAGTAAGAATGGAAAGAGAGCAGAAAATATCACAACCAAGAGAACAAATTTACTTTCAAGTTTTTTCCTCAAGTAAGGCAACGAATCCTGCTCAGCTTAGATTCGTTTGAGTTGAATATATAGTGCAAGCATGGCACTTCGTACGTGGAGTTGATCTAGAGGTAGTTCGTGGTTTTTCGCTGAGAAAGGCACTTTTTCACTTTTTTCCCCCAATGCATCAAGTTATCTCAGCTGTTGAAGAGATAGTTAAGAGGCGACTATTTCAATGCATAGTCCTACATTGCAACATTAGCCATTTTCATTATGAACAACCTTGAGATCACATGTAAGGGATAACTAAGATTCATGGTTCTTGAGTACAGTGAATGCTGCTATAGTCAACGTCTCGTGAAATGTTTTTCGTTAAAGAAAGGTTTGCATGAAATATGATGCCAAACAAAACAAACTCCTTGATAACGTGTAGGTGAGATCCTTTAAACGTGAAGATGTCGTCTCCTGCAAGCTGTCTCATGATCTGGAGTTTTGAAGGGTTTACTTGGAGCAGGTTTATGTTACCCCTTCGTTCAAGAGCGGGCGACGGATAGTTGCAGCTCTTATGCCGTTCGGATCAGAAATGCCTAGTCATTGGCGTAGACAGGTTTGAGCAGATGTTTAGGATGGCTTCTAGCAAATCTGAAATCATGACGAGGAATAAGAGATGGTTGAGACAATCCCTAGGGCCCACTCCTCTATTGTGGTCTTCCGCTGTAGGAGGAACGAAATCCGTCCAAGAGAGATAACATTTGGGACGAGGAGATATCTTTGGAAAAGTTGTCATGCAGATTGACACAAATTTTCTGCAGTAATATGGCTTGATCACAGACAAAAGCTTTTTGAAGTCTACTAAAGCGACGAATGCTATTCCTATTTGGTAAGGAAAGGCTCCCCCGATAGCATCAAAAAGTGTCCTTTGGCTAGGAAGTTACTTTTCCCGGGAATTAATTTGCCATGATGATCCGATATTGAATGGTATCATTCGTGCATTAACTATGATGAAAATCTTGCTGGCACAGCAAAGGAGACAATCGAGAGGAGACATACATCGAGAAAAATATGGATCTAGAGAACTTGACTTTGTTTGTCCGTCTTAATTGGGAAGGAATATTACGAAATTGGAGAATGTTGTTGAAAAGTTTTGTACAGGATGAGGCCGAAACCGTAAAGGCAAAGTTTAGATATTTATAGATTAAAATATAAGGTTCACGTGCTTGCAAATTCTGTGAGGGGTCTGTTCGTTTAGTAGTTTTCTGAATGCGAATGATACTAATGAGTCGGTCCGGAAGGTGACGTGTTCTTTATGTGGATCTTAGAGGGCTTTGAAATCAGGAAACACAGGGACTGGAAAATTTCAAGCACAAATCTCAAAATTAATATGGAAAATCATGGTTTCGGATGCTGGCAGTGCCTGGCATAACAAAAGTTGGACAGGGACAGTCGTGTAAGGTACCATGTTCGCGTCAGCTCAGTCCCTGGAATGGATTTCTACATACGCAGAAACGACGCACGAGCTCAGGATGTGCGGTACAGGCCTATTTTGCTACGTTAAACCGAAATATCATATATTAATTATGATCAGTGTAAGTTCTCCATCGTGAGGTTTCAGTGGGTCCTTAGAACGGAAATAAATACATTCTCTCCAACGTCGTTTCTACGTTGATTTCATTGATTCCTCATGCGCCAACATGTATCATGAGAAGAGTTGGAGGTTTTGCAAAGTTGGTCTCTTAAATAGCCATTGCTAGGAGGGTGTTGGACATATCACAGAAATGATGGATCCTCCTATTAAGGAAATTGTGAAATCTGATAATGCCCTTCTAGCTCTCTGGTTGTAAAAACTCCCAGGATTATCGCCTGTAAGTGATTTTTGCCTCATTGCAGGACATTGACGGATAATCGTATCTCCAGGATTGAGAAAGGCGCCTTCAGGGATCTGTCTTCTCTGCAGAGACTGTGAGTTAAATTCCTCATCATTTGTGCGAAATCCTACGTTACCTCTGACATAACGTGATGTGATCTCATCCGCTCTGATCTGATATGATTGGCATGCGGTGTGTGCGAAAGGTACAAAGAAACACGTTTTCGAGGCGTGACCGGAAGCTTGAGTTACATCGCCAAGGGTGATATTCAGGCGGTTGAGATTTGAACATCTTTTGTTCCATGCAGTCCGTGACCAATGATAAATTTGCCGTGGTCCTAAGCTGGCAGTCTGCACAGGAGAGAAAGAAAGAGCCGACTCCCTCCATGCACGAGCTCCGGACTCTTGTCAATTATGAATTATTCCATGCACTTACGTCGACCCGCACCTGGTAGTACTGCCAACAGCTTTTTTTTTTCTTCTCAGTATGTACGACAGAGAGGATAGATGTGAGGCTTCCTTTGTCTTTCTGTTCTCTCCATGGAGTCACGGGTCGGAAAGGTTAGAGTCAGATAGATGAGCCCATTCTTCATGAACCTACCAAGGGAGACGAATATGACAAATTCTCTAAATGCAAGCCTGCCAGCTCAGCTGCGACAGGCTTAGACACTTGGGCGTGCATAAATCTCGAGGAGCATTTAGGTCACGATAAGTCCAAAAATAAACACTTCTCTAATATTGAGAGATGACATGCCTTTTACCAGGGTAGGCCCTTAGGCTGATTCATCGGAAAAAAAAAGAATTTCGGAGAATAGTGCAACGTCCCAAATGAAAAGCGGATTATAAAATCGTGGCAGAGCAAGGCCGTAGAGGTTTCAGGATGCTTAATCCAAAGAACGCGTTCCCCTTCACGTTCGCGTTTCTTTTTCCTTTACCATTCACGGTGCCTGGCTTGTGATAATCCTCTATTCAACCCTTCGAACCTTTTTGTGCAACACGTATTTGTCATCTACGTTGAAGTGCTCTCCATCACGGTATTTGCGTCACTTGAGCGCACAAATCATCGTTCTTCTTGCATATCGTTATCCCTTCCATTCAAACTTTCCCCATTTATTTTGTTTGTGTTTCCCTGCATCATTCTGGGCCAGCACCTTTCCTCCAGCTTTCAGTGCGTGACGAGCAATTATGAGTGACAGCTGAAATGGGAGTACGGTTACTATTGATCCCTCGCATTGTCATTCTAGCTCTTCAGTCGGGTCCGTTCGATAACAGAGATAGTTCCATGCCCCTCTTCATCCTTATCTATATGGATCCCTGGCAGGCCTGGGGCTCCTGCAGCTGGAGCTCTGCTTCCTGAGCAAAATCGAAGCGAAGGAAGTATCGGTAATGGCGAAGTTAACTCTGTCACTATGTAGATGGACTCCTTCCGCGAAGCATAAAAGTTTGTCTCTCACAGGGCCTCACGGTACTAGTATCCCAAGAGAGAGAGGAAGGATTTTTTTTTCGTACATTGTTCGGAGGGATCGACCAGGAGGCAAAACATACGAGAAGAGCAGACAGTCCTTTGTTGGAAGGAGCAACAGAAAGATTTAGATTTACTGTGCTTCGTGGCTCTTAGGATAATAATCCTCAATTAGGTCATGGAGTCGCAGAGGGTCATTTTACTTCCTCAATTGCTTGCTCGTTTCTCTGACTTATCCCTCCTCTCGTGTTCGTCTCCTGGAATTCACTCATCCGCAAACTGGTGGATTCCTCGGGCTCCCTCTCAATTTTTATTGCTCTGTCTGAGAAGTCCGGTGGTGAAAGTAATTTAGGGCGGCATCTTTGTTGTGGGCTCTCCATTATGGCTCCCCGTGCCTGGAAAGTGCGCGTGCCAACTATAAAACTACTGCTGCATGGATGAACGAAGAAAAGCTTATAATCTTGATAATGGAGATGCCATTCGTGTTGTCTAGTGTTTCCTTAAGAGTCTCGATTATGCATGTTCTTGCTTTCACTTTCTGTATAAAGAGAAAACGTGGGGATTTATCTTCCATCTCGTCGCTTGGTAACGCGAGATGGAAGATGATTTCAAAACTCTCGCGTTTGCCCACTTGATGACGTCGCTTTATGAGCTCTCCATCTGTTTGGGTTCGCGAGTAAAGTCAAGCCGTGGTTCTCGGCCTGGAGATTGCCCAAAACGAGTAAATCACGCTCGGCTTTTGCCATGACATGATTGAGAGGTCCGGGGTCCACAAGGTCGAGGAGGAAGGGAAGCCCTGAAATGTTATCGGGCTAATAAGTGGAGGGCTTCGCTCACGACTTTGGCGTAGAGCAATCGGAGGTCGTGATGGGAGACCGCTTTTGGGAGGAACCAAAGAAAGAAACTCCACTGAATGCGGACGACACGGGTTGCTTCATCTTTTCCTTTTTCCTCTCTCTCTTTTCTAGTGATTTGAGTCACAACGAGATCACCGTACTCGACAAGAGGACCTTTCGAGGAGCCGAGCAACTGAAACACTTGTGAGTGCACCTCGTTTCCTCTTTCTGGCTCATTTGACGTCTAGGAATAACGCAACGAGTCCAATCCAGCCTCCAAAACGGCTTCAGAAGGAAGCCAAAAAAGAAGGGAGAGAAAGGAAAAGAGAGAACTAAAGAACCGGTGAAGGACACGGTGACGGGGTGATGGTGGCAGTATTTGTACTGGGCTATTCTATTCTCGGGGTTTTGTTGACTGCTCGCGATGTTCTTCTATCAAGCCTTTTTATAAACTGTCCCTGGGACCTACAGTAAACTAGTCGTTGGTTTTCAGCATTTCATGCACACCACCACACCCAAGGAAATAAATACATTTAAAAAAACATGGAGGGGGAAAGAGGTGAGAAGGAGCGGAGCGCTCAGAAAATATTGTAGGATCTTGAAATAGAGCATGATGTGGTACAGGTATCTCTCTCGCTCCATTTTGCGTATACGAGTGTCTGACAGAATATTTTGTTCTTTTTATTTCATCTGCCAGAGTTCCTACAAGAGAACAAATTAATTCCCCTCTAAACATTATATCACCCAAGTCCACCTAATGTAACATCACGAAATTTTCAAGAAAAGAGGTCAAGTTTCACATCGTGGACTCAAAAATCATCATATCAAATAGTCGTGTAAACTTTATTTTACTCTGTCTGTATTCCAAAGACAATAAAAACATGAGAAAATGTCGAATAACTGACATAACTACTAGAGGTTTCTCCCTGGCAGGAACAAATAACAGCCCCATGATGGGGACATAGCTACCTAATCGTTGAAAAACTTTCGGTCTTCGTGATTCTGATGGATGGGTGAGGTGACGGGGATGTCTCTTGAAATGGGAGCAATTACTACGAGGTGAAATTCTTTGCATGCAAAGGCTTCCTCCTCCGTGCAACTCCTCTCAGTTTCTAGAGCCCCTCATTCATCTTGTACCTGCCTCTTCTGGGGGTCATTACACGGTCTTATTGCCCTCCTTGGATTCCGGTGGGTAGAAGTTTCTTGCTTCGCTTTTGTTGGGACCACAGCTGAGCCTCGTCACAACCCTTCGACTCCGTATTTCTGCAATTTCATCGGCGTACAAAGTAGTAGCACGTGAGAGAGGTGATGGCACTTGCCAGATTCTAACCTGACAGTTGAGAAGACAGGACTCGGTAGAGTCACCTTTGAAAATCTCGTGGAAGTGGGATCTGGTATGGTAGAAGATGGGAAATGTGAGAGCAGGATTCCAGACATGGATAAGCTTGGAAGGTATTTCGCGTTTGACCGCCTGAGGAAAATATCTCCGTTGAAAGAGAAATTCTTTGACTTCTTTTTACTGTGGTTTGAGAGGAATCTCCAAGGGATCTTCATGGAAGATTTTTTTTTCCCTTCTACGTAGGCACCTGGCTCATAACAAGTTGCAATGCATCTTAAGAGATTCCTTCAAACATCACCGAGATCTGGAGCTCATGTAAGTGCCGTGGAATCCCCTAAATAAGTTTCGTCTCGAAACTAATTTCATTTGCTTTGTCTGCTCAAGACTTCTTTTGGAAACTTCATTTCGGCATCTGATTTCATTCCCGTGACGACTGATTTGATTGATGCATTTCTTTCCTTATAGTTCCCTGCAGGCCAACAATCTAACATGGATTCACCCTGAAGTGTTCTCTCCTCTGCCTAACCTTCGCCTGGTCCGTCTGGAATGGAATCCATGGGACTGCAGCGGTTGCCAAGCCGTCGTCCTCTCCAAAGCCTTGAATGGCATGAAGGCCCGGCTTGGAGATGGTTACTCCCAACCACGATGTGCTATTCCAGCTGATAAACGAGGCCAACTTGTGACCTCCCTTGTTATAGATGGCCTCAGGTGTTCCGGTGAGTACAGGACATGCTTGTGACTTCTTTTCCTTTAACTCTTGACTGGTACTAAATATGTACGGTAGATCCAGCTTCATCTTCATTTAGCTAGAACTTATGTGAACTGGAAAAACCGCATGCTGTGGACGTGATGGAAGCATGTCCGGCTGACAGTGAAGCATCTTTCTCATTATTCATCACTCGAGAGGTCCGACCAGGGTCATACCCTTGGCTCTCTTGCCCAGATTAGGTCAGTCCCTAGGAGAAATTCGATGAAGAAAAATACGAAAGCCGTAAGATGTGCCTGAGAGGCATCCATATGTAGTAGACCTTGATCGGGGATGCCCATTTACGTGCGGAAATGCATCATCTCGTGATTGGAGACGTCTGAGGCATCATCATCATCCGCATGACTTGCATATTTTGACTTGCAGTCGACCAGGTGCATTATGGATGGGCTTTGTTGAATTCTCTTTCCTCCTTCCTTCGCCAGCGCTCATAATCCCTTCACTTCCAGTTTCAAAAGAGCTCCGTACCCTTATGTGCTTGCTTTATGAGCTCCACTTTCAGAACACTATGGAAAGAGCAGCGAAAGCTTCTCAGAGTTCCCTTAGCGTGCTATAGTAAATGCTCGAAGGCACTCCTTGCGTGCACTGGGCATGGAAGGAGTCTTGCTTTGTCCTAATCAATCGTAAATCGTGGGACTTCTTTGGTACTTTGCCCGCTCATGCGTGACATAGCCTCCTGTCATTAAATGTGTTAGGAGTAGCTATTCAGATGTCATTCTTAGTCCTTCCTGGGCCGTTCCTTTAGCATTCAAGATCTTGCACAATTTCTTCATCAAACCCTTCATCATCTGGCAATCCCTGCACTGCAGGCTGCATATTTCTTCTTTCAACTTCCCAGAGGATTTAAGGTTTTTTTGCCGGAAGATGGGGGGGGGGGGGGGCACGATCTGTGAACAACGGAACGAGGAGCATGACTGAGGCAGTCGTGAAGCTGCTGAAAACACGCAGGGGGGGAATTAAAATGTTATCGGTATTTCAATAGAATGGAAGTGGGGTCGGGGAGGTGGGCTGGTGGACTGGAAGCGAGACGAAAGAAGAGATAAGAAAGGGAGTGAAGTAAACAAGGCTTCTGAAACCATCATGGGTTTTCTCCAGTAATGAATGAGACCTGGGATGCAAGTCATCCTCTCTCAACCACACAGATTCTTTCGTCTTCCCATTGTCTACAAGTGGAAGGTTTTTTTTTTCTTCTTCCCTACGACATCTACGGGGTGCGTCAAAAGTCACTTGACACTTAAAAGGTTGTGAGGAAAACAAGTCTACCAGAAAAAAATTCTTAATTTCCCCAGATGGAAAGAGTAAATATTCTAGTGAATGTTTTCTTTAAGGCGAGAAAGAGTGGCTATGTGTTTAATTATGTATGTACCTCTCTTCTTCGCATCTGTCTCCACTCTATCAGTACATATAAATTATATATGTGGATAGACCAGTTTTTCAAAAATTCCACGAGTTCTTCCAGTTGGAACGTTTTGTTTCAAGCTTATTAGTGAATGAGAGATGACTGTCATCCTTAGGTTAACTTTCTTCTGTTGTGCAGGGGTTGTTTCTGTGCTCTGCGTCCAGCTAATAACTTTTGACTCACCCGCTATCCCGTCCTGGCCCAAGATTCTTCATTATCTCGTCATTTCGAAAAGATGCCTTTCCCCCAAAAGATGTTAAAGAAAGGACATAGCCCTTTTTCGAGGAAAGTGTTTGATTTTCTCCCTTTTTTTTGGTTTAATTTTAGGTGAAGTTGAAGCACATTGGGGCTGTGAGTCCTTGGATGAGATGGCAGCAGCAGCTGATGCTCCATCGTTTGGGTGTCCATCAAAATGCCGCTGCAATGGAGATGGTGTCGTCGATTGCAGAGCTCAGGACCTCACCGACATACCTAAGAATATCCCTCTTGATTCCGTAGAAATGTGAGTTTTGAGGATTCATTCTTTCTCGGAGAATAATTATGCAAATGCAAATTGAGAGAGAGAGAGAGAGAAAGGGAGAGAAGGTAGTAGTGGTGAGTGAGTTAATTTGATGGAATGGCATAGTTGAGCCCAAAGCACTAATGATTCTCTGAGAAACGACGTTCCTGCTCTCCAGAGTTAATTTTTTCCCCGGGTGATGAAATTGAATTTACGTGCCCTCCGTTCCTCTCTCAACTGAATACCTATATCGATCTGGGTCTCTCGTATAGTGTGTAGGAAATGTCTGATAGAAGCTACGAAGGAGGTTCGAGCGGTACCGTGACCTCTCCCACCAGATTTATATCTGTAAACAAAGAAACTCGTGGCCTGGATGACGGCCGTGAAGCAATTGTCAAAGTCTTATATCAGAAGGAAGCGAACATTTATAGGTTCCACGTGGAAGACTTTCCTTTCGCACTCGGTAAACAGCGTCTCGCCTCTGTCACTGGGAAGGGAACGTCGTACAAGGAGTCATCCAATGATGATACCAAGAAGGTCGAAGCCCTGACGTGACCCTCGTTACAACCCCAACCCTTCAACCTTCTGTAAAAAGCAATCAATCTTCATTTGCGAACGCAATCCTCAACAGAGGCTTTGCAACCCTTGACTTGGATTCTTCTAGAAGAGAGAGTAACGTCATGTAATCCAACGCTTTCCTTCTCGGAGGGTTTGGCGGCAAGAGAAAGAAAACTTTCCCCTTTGAGGGCGAAGGGAAGCTGGAGATCTTTCTCTCAGGGTTTTCCGGCTCGTGTTTCTAAGACGGTTATGGAACTACGAACGGAAGGGGGGAAAGAGAAAAGGGAAGAAGAATGGGGAGAGTTGAGAGAATTGATGTGCAAGGGACACCTGAGTCTGAGAGGATGAGGATTCCAGCCGTCCATTTGTCTGCGTCGCATGCGGAGAATCCCAATTTCACGGAGTAGTATTCCTGATCAGAGAGGGAGAGGGAAAGACAGAGAGTTCGTGTGTGTGCGGTGTGTTCTCTCTTGATAAGTGATGACGTCCCGAGAAAGACTATTCATCCTCTGGATCTGCGTTGCCTGTCTTGCAGACGATTGGAGCAGAATCTCCTCACTGAAATCCCTTCCAGGGCCTTCACCCCCTTCAAGAAACTCAAAAGGATGTAAGTTCCTCCACTCCGCTCTTTTTCTTGATGTGTTCTACGTCACGAATCGGTTTCTATGGTCCCTCAAACTGTATGCCTGTTCGCTCTTCCTTCCTCGCTATCTGTTCTTCCTATTTTCTTCCTCATCCATGACCTCGTTCGTGGAATAATAATAAAAAATGCATATTGCCATGCCTTCTCTTGACAGAGATTTGAGCCACAACCAGATCAGCACAGTGGCGAGCGATGGCTTTGCGGGATTGCAGGACCTCACGTCTCTGTAAGTTCTGGCTTCAATGTTTTTGTAAGTGGAATGGAGGGAGAATTAGCGCCCGATTTCCTCGATTCCTGCCTTGCGGCAATTCCTGATCATTCCCTCTGCCTCATCTGTCATTCTGACATCATCTTATGGCTTGTAATGATGGCCGCATAAATCCGGCTGTCAAATCTTCTCCTTGATTGATGTATTGAGTGGGTTCCTCGCCTTGTCAGATTTCTATCTAAACACGGTGTTTGAGTGTTCATTTGGATCCTGATTCCTCCTCTTTCTCTTCCCCCCAGTGTCCTCTACGGCAACAAGATATCCAGTCTTCCCGAAGGACTCTTCCACGGACTGCATTCCCTTGAGCTTCTGTAAGTTTCAGGCTGCCATCTCCACAAACGCGATAGCCTTGAAAGAACTCCATAGCGTCATAAGTGATGCGACCCGGTAGATGAAGGCCCATCCATAAGTGGATCTGTGTAGAAAGTCCTCCCACGTACAGTTCACGGGGGAGTCAATCATCTATTGCAGGAAGCTGTATTGAGAATCACCTGGCTTGGAGCCAGGATGGAAGTCCATCTGAAAATATGGATAGGAGAGGCAAGTATGTGTAACCGAGGTTATTGCTCTGTCCTGTCATCGGCTGAAGAGCAATTAGTTCAGAGTTGAGATTCCTCTCTATTCCTCAGTGCTGTTAGACCTCTCTCTTGCCGCCTTGGACATCTCGACTAATGACCAATTAAAAGAACGAGAAATGATAACAATCTACGTGATAAAATATAAGATGTGGCTAATGATAGACAATGCTGGAATGGGAAACCAGACATTCAAGTCCCCTTCTTTTTTGTAGACCGATTCCTTCTTCGGATGCGACCCAGACTATGCCTATCCTGTAGTGTCGGATAATTGGTATATACAGTAGCAAAGTGTTGCATAGTCGATATTTACCCAGCAAAACCTTCGCTTAGAGCTTACTTAAGGAAATACAATTGCAATACCACTTTTCCTCCTTCCATGTAGGTTACTGAACGCCAACCAACTGAAATGCATCCCTGGAGGTTCCTTCAAGGACTTGCGGAAACTCTTTCTTCTGTGAGTCATCATCATGTCCCCTCTTTAATGATGTCTGGGGCATCCCCGCCTAAATTGGTAGCCTCTGATGAGACCAATTCTTCATTTATGTCAACCAGGGGGGTCCACTGTCCACAATCTTCTCTTTCTCTTCTGTCGTCTTTCTTTTCTCTCCTTTTTTTCTTTTGAGGGTTGATGTTTGTTCTGTTAAGGGCGTAACAGAGTTGAGAAATCCCATATCAGGCTGAAAAATTACTTTTCTCTCAAAGTAATGAAGCTTTGTAGTGGGCTTATTCAATTACCACTGACCGAAAATGGCTCTCCGCGCACTGGCTTGCATGCTTTGGTTCGTCTAATGGAGTAATTTATCCTGACAAGTCTCTAATTTTTCATTCGTGTGTTGAAGAAGTATCCAGGATCCTGGAGAGGAATCCATTAGGGGCATGAAGAACGAGTCGGTGCAATTAATGATGCCACATGAAAGTCGACAAATAGAGAGGATTGCTATGCTCGCTCTTCCCTTGGCGCTACGATAGGAAGAGGGATGCCGATTGGAGATGTCCCTCCTGTCTTATCTCAGCTTGTCTCTCTCAGGTGCATCCCACAGGGTGACAAATCTCCCCCATTCTGCGAGCCTGACAGCCTCTTGCTTCTTCGGGGGGTCCGCTCAGAATACATCATCTTTTATCGAGACCTCTAGAGTCAAGCAGGAGAGTCTTTGAATCCACAAAACTCGCGTCAAGGGGGAGAAGAATAGCCAGATTACGTTCAAGCGCCTCATTATAGGGACAGAACAATCGATTTTCAACCCCATTGTGATCTTGTGGAATGCCTTCTTTAGACGGGGGAATATTAGAGGATGGTCTTTTTGTATCCCCGACGGAATGGGGCGAAGGAGAGAGAGAAGACACAGAGAGATAGGTATATTATCGTGTCTTGATTGTATCCGCCCTTGTTCAGATCGGGATTAGGTCGAGGGAGAAGATGACAGAGAAAATGCAATGGAAGGAATCCAGAGCCTTTGATGGTTCTATGGCTGGTCCTTCATCATATCCGCGATCCGCAGTGTATTTACGGTGCAATGAGGTAGATTTGATCGTTCGCCACTTTTCTTCCACTCCCTCCAGTCTCCCCTGCATCGCGTGTATAGGTGATCCTGGAAATACTCTCTTTCCTTCTTTTGATTCTATTCCCCCCTGAAATGAATATAGAGCGCGTCTCATCATTCATTCATTGTGGCCATTACTAGAGTCTCGAATGAAAATTCAGGAACTATTCATGAACCATCTCATACAGGATACCGATTTTTCTCTACCTCATTTCCTTGTTCCGGCTCGATTACGAATGTTTGATTTATTTTTTATTTTTTCAAGATCCCTGTACGACAATGCCTTGGAGACTTTACCTGTGGGTCTCCTGGATCCTTTGGTCAGCATCCAGACATTGTAAGCATTTCATCCCGTAGATCCACTGTTCCCTATACTAGATGGGACTCGAATCACGCATATTTCCTTCCTTTCCTTTTTTCTTCACCGACAGGCACCTGGCCAAGAACGAGTGGGTATGTGACTGCCATCTACGAAGCACGGCCGAGTTTCTCACCAGACATCAAGGGATCGAAACCTCCGGTGCCAAATGCGCAGCTCCTTCCAGCATGCAGAAGAAAAAATTATCATCTCTGTTCCCAGCAAAACTCACTTGTAATCTGGGTAAGAATGAAAAACTCATCAATCCCATGGTGAAGCTAATCCAGGAAGAAATATAACAGGATTTTGTCAAACAAAATGCACAAAATCTATATACAGGAGATCCAGTACCTCAGGGGTGTGCAAAGGATTCAGGGTGCCCGAGTTCATGTTCCTGCCAAGGTTCAACCGTGGATTGTTCAAACCGCCACCTGAAGTCGCCTCCGTCGAACCTCCCTCCACAAACGACAAAACTGTGAGCGGAGGGGACGTTCTTTGTTTCTAGTCTGTTCCAATTTATGGCTATTAGGGGGACATGATTTTCTCCTGTGGTCAGGATCTTGTCAAGGAACCAGCTGGAGACCATGGAACCCGGGGTTTTCGAGACCCTTACCCAACTCCGATCCTTGAGTCTGAACGACAACAAGCTCACATGTCTTCCCCAAGGCGCCTTTAAGGGACTCGACAAGCTCCAAGAAGTGTATGTTCAACTACTCTATATCAAGATTGGATCTGTCACGTTGTCTCCCGAGAGATAATGGAATGGATTCTTCGCCGCAGATCGTTGGCGGGCAATCAACTGGAATGTGATTGCGATCTTGGATGGCTGAGCGAATGGCTACAACAGAGAGGGATAATTGAATCAGGTGCAAGGTGCTATGTCCCTTCCATGTTAGCAGGGAAGCCCATAGATCAACTCCCGAGGGACCTTTTCAAATGTTCCAATCCGGGAAAATCGGCATGCAAGAAACTGGCTGCAGACGCTATGCCCTCCGTCGTCTGTCCGCCGCAGTGCAAGTGCGAGGACAAGAAAGTTAGATGCAGCCATGCAAAGCTGGATCAAATCCCCTATCCCATCCATGCTGACACAGAAGAATTGTTAGCATTGCCTTCTTTCTTTCTTCTAATTCCACAATGGTTTGGTAAAAAATTTAGCCCATACTTCCTACTACTTCAGGTACTTGGACGCAAACGAGATCAAGGAAGTGAACCCTATGAAACTCAAACATCTCAAGAATCTACAGCGACTGTAAGTCATATATATTTGTCAGTGTTCAGGGTAGGATGACGAACGTAAGCGTAATGTGGAGGGGGAAAGTGTGAGTTTGTGTGTGTGTGGTGGAGGGGGAGGCCATGGGAATCACTCGTCGAGAACCAGCCAAGACGACTCGGAAGAAGTGATCAAGCACAAGGATGCACAACGAGCTTCTTGAATATCATTATTATGCGTCGCCTAGCCTTGCATTCTACTAGTATTCAGATGAATCTAATGACCAGTTTTGGCTGGGGTGAAATGGTCTTTGTTGCCCAGTGCAAATAGAAACATGATTAAACACAGCGCTGATAGATTTGAGGGAAGTTAGAACCGACGCCGACACGGGTCACAAGTCAAAATGGCTAGAAAAAAAAGCTCCAACTCAATGCGTACCATTCCCATGGTGTATGATCGGGAACCCAAATGTGGGAAGAAAGAGGCCTGGAGAACCTTGGGTCACTTCTCACGCATTTCATGCATACTTCCTTCTTCTATCTCTCTTTTGCTTTTTTTTCAAGTGTAGAGCTCGTTGCCCCTTCCCTCCCGCCGACGCTATATCTATCGTGACCAGACGTCTCGATTTACCTGGGAAAGGTTCCAGTTTTTAGAAACACGTCTCTGGTCTCGAGCTTCAATTTGCGGAAAAGAAAATGTTCGAGTAGCACGATGCGAAGGTGAAAAAAGAGGCTAAGCTGGGCAACGCCCAATCCTGTAACGAGCCTCCTTTGAGTCCATCGTTACAGATGGTACAGACGAAATAATGGGGGAGGGGAAGAGTACAGAGGGAGGGAGAAAGTAGAAAAAGGATGCTTGAGAACGGTGTGCGCAGATCATCAACGATTGGGACAAAGAAGGAAGGAGCACTATTCCTCCTCCTCAAAGCTGACTCGCAGAAATGTGCAAAAGAAAAAAAATTATTCCAGAATAAATTTAAATGTGCTATGGATGGAATGCTGCCAAAACCAAGCAGCGAAAACACCACAAATATTGAAGGAAGCTTCACGCTGATACAGACCGACATCAGGGAATTGGATGAGGAACTCAATTCTCTTTCCAAGAAAAGAGGCTGACCAAAGAGGAGAGGAAGGGACAAGGAGGAACAGGGAGATCAGCAGGAATGAGCTTCACCGAACGTCTCTTGTAGGGGAAGATTGATAGTAGGTGATCAGTTGTACCGGAAGTGCTGAGGGTAGAGGTATATTCAACTCCAACATCGCCTTCAACATGAGCTTCTTAACACGTCTCATTCTCTTTCCTGGAACAAGAATCTTTTCTAAGAAGCCTTGAATTTCTCAGTGCTGTTTGCACTGGCTGGACATACAATATTTTTTGCCCAGACATGTGGAAAAACTCAGAGGCCAAAGAGTAGTGGTTAGAGGCAAGAAAAACGAGTCGACTTACGTCCGTTCAAAACTTTTACGCTTCACGCACTAGATCTCTCATGGGCAATCAACTAAACTTCAAATATGCTTTTTTTTAAATTAGGATCATGTTGACTGGCCATTATTCTTACGAGCCAATTATTGAACTCCTCGACTTGCCTCAAAAATGTAAGCATAGGATACATTTCCCCTCCCAATATTTAGGCTATTTGTGATGGCATTCGTTATGAATGCCATCATAAACAGGGTTAATTAATGACCTGATGTCCACATAAAAATCCTGCAACTTCGATCATTTATAGGGACAGGGAAAGGGAGAAGCATTTAATCTTTCTTGGTGTTATTTCAGCCAAGAAGGATAATTCAAACCTCAAGGAAAGGCGTGTGGCCGACCAAGACTACGCTTTAAAAGCTTTCCTGGGGTTCGAGACTAAAGTTTTGATCTTTCAAACCCTTCGACTCTTGGATAGTACAACGGGTCTGTTCTTTGCACGCGGGGCTTGGAAGTATTTTCTTCGGCTGTCTTTATGTGGGATATACCGTAAGGGAAAATATTAAAAATAGGGCAGGAAATTTCATGGTTTAGATTGAAAATCTTACTTCCATGGCTTCCTTGGGAATATTTTTCCTTTCCACTATAATATTACAGGCAGAAAGACCGGTCCTTCTTATCCTTCAATAGGAGAGACCGGTTTCCCTGTCTGTAAATATTACAAGGAAAATAAAAGAATTTCAAAGGAAGCCACAGAAATAAAGTTCCCTCTCTAAGCGTGGGAATTTCCTGCTATTTTTTCATTACAGTGTACTTTTGTGTTCTGCGTGGTACTTCCACGAAAGTGAATGAAAACAAGTGCATATCTCTCACAGCTCTCCTTTTCCGGCAAAAATTCTGTCGTTTTCGAAAGACGAGTGACTTACGGAGAGTGTGAAACTATGTATGATGAACCTTGATTTTTTATATGAAAAAAAATTAATCTTCGTCCTTGGTAGAGATGGAATTTCGACAGCATGGAAGCACATGAACCAAGCAATGGAAGGGAAAGACAAATTCGGAAACTTGTAATTGAAGGAAGGGAAATGGGAGAGGATGCGTGGCTGACCTCGACTACGGCTACGGCTTCGGCTTCTCTTACATGAGTGAAGGCATTTGTCCGGATTATTGCATGACAGTAATCCAAGCAGATGGCAAAGTCCCACTTTGTGCTTGAGGTGACATGAATAAGCATTTTTTCAGGACTTCTCGGCCTCGGCTGTGGGCGGGCAGGGAAATGTTTCAAACACCTTCTAAGCTCCTGTCACGAGTTTGACGTCGATTCAGCGCGTCCAATTTATTTTTCTTCTTTTGTCTTTGTTACAGAGATCTAAGCAATAACCGAGTCTCCTACTTGGACGCAGACGCTTTCCAAGGACTCCATAGTCTCCACACTTTGATTCTGAGCTACAATAAGATCGAGTGTCTCCATAAGGCGGCATTCTCAGGACTGGGGGGGCTGCGAATCCTGTCTTTGCACGGGAACGAAATCTCCAAGGTCCCTGCTGGGGCCTTCGACGATCTTCATTCCATCAGCCATCTGTGAGTGGGCGTGCATTGGAATGAAAGTTCACCCTAAATGGTCTCATATCCCATGAATGGCTTCAATGCTAGGGCGCTGGGTTCGAACCCCTTGTTCTGTGACTGTCACTTGCAATGGCTGAGTGAGTGGGTGAAGAGGGACTATGTAGAGCCAGGAATAGCGAAATGCCACGATCCAGCGCCAATGAGGGACCAGCTCATCCTAACTGCTCCTTCCGCCTCTTTCACCTGTAAAGGTTGGTCACTTCCTCCGCATTTCACTCATTTTGTATTTGATAAGCTCGGCTCCGGTACAGGGGCACTGGGAGGTAATTCCCAGGAAGATATCTGGTTGAACACAACTGTTCTTTGAGTGCGTCCTCTTCTCCGTTTCGGTTCCATAACATGGATCAGCACTTTAGGATCCCCATTTAACCCACTATCAAAACCATAAATGATAAGATAATGGATGAAATAATGACAATGGAAGTTATGTCTAACTGAATGTTTTCATTTCGCATAGGCTTCTATGAGAATAACAATCGGTTATATGGATTATGTAAGGAACCAACAATAAAAGTTGAATTTATTCAAGTTGATTGGATTTTTTTGCAAGTCGTGTAATATCTGTTTTACCGTTGATGAGTTTTATCATGTTCAGTGACCCAGGTAAAAGATTCAATAGAAGCGACGTCTTCCCTCTCTCGTCGATTTCATACACTATGGTCATCTGAACTCGTGTTGGAAGAGCGCGCTTTACCGGTTCTCAGCTACTTGCTAGGTCCCTCAATGATGGCCTTGATGTACAAAGAACCAAAAAACTACTGCGACGAATCCCATGTCGTCCGCTGGTCTGGCCGCCGAAGTTGGTTCCCGCGCAGCATATTCCTTTTGAGCTCAAGTCTAAATGAAGATTCCCTTACATTCATGAATTCCTCATCGCTTAAAGAAAGCATCACAAAGCGGGAGTCGAGTTATATTGATGATGACATATCATGCGAAAACTTTTAATAGTGTATGACTCGGATGAAGTGTAAAGGTCATGAGGTGACTCTTCACAGAGAAACTAGCCGAACTCCCTGTGGGAAAGGGGGATAACATTCATGACAAAGTTGTTTCTTCTCCGCGCAAGCACCTCCTCGTAGTTTCGGAGAAATTTCGGAATATCCGTCCATCCGTCCAAAAGCTATACTTCACGTTTACGCTCAAGAGTCATGGGAAGAAAAAGCTATGGTGAGGAGTGAAATTTCCATTCTTGTAAAAAGTTTTTATGGGATCTCCGGTCATAAATGCTGAATGAGGGGCAGTCTAACATGTCGATACTTCAAGGAATCGCCGATGCTTGAATTGAGGTTTCAGTTCATATAAAATTTATCTATAGAGACAACTCAACATCTGAGGAATTCGAGTAGGACCATGATATTACGAGACTATTGCACAGCAGTATTGTACACAATGAATGAAAGACACGAATGAACTTTTGACTTTAAAATGGCAAAAACGATTTAGCAATGGAATAGAAAATTGTTACTTTAAACCAAAATCCGGCCATCTTGTGCCACATGACTGATCCGTGCTTTTGGTGGCGTAGAGCCTGCCCCTCCCCACGTCCTGGCGAAATGCGATGCCTGCTTCAACTTCCCCTGTCGCAATGGTGGCACTTGTGAGTCGCAACCGATGAAGAACTTCACCTGTCTCTGTGGTCCGGGTTACTATGGCAGCCAGTGTGAGCATGCAATAGATGCTTGCTTTGGAGAGCCTTGTGCCAACGGGGGGACCTGCGAAGTCATCGAAGAAGGACGTTTCAGGTATGTCGGCGCTCAGCCTTCCTTTCGCTCATACTGGGTATGGCAAAATGACCTTGAGGATTCCTGGAGATTCATTTTTGGCTGTAGTTGTCACTGTGGAGTGGGCTTTACTGGACTTCGATGTGAGGAGAACGTGGATGACTGCGACGGGCATAAATGTCGCAATAATGCCACCTGCATTGACCTCATTGATGATTACAGATGCAACTGCCTACCTGGATTCGCAGGTCGGTTGAATTTGGCAGACTCTTCTGAAAGTCCAACGAAGCTCTTGTACCATACGATAGGGTTTCTAGTAGAATCCTCTTTTTTTTTTTAGGTGAATTTTGTGAGAAAAAGATCGCGGCGTGTACGAAGGAATGGAATCCGTGCGCGAACGGTGGCCGCTGCATCAACACAGGATCGGATTATTCCTGTGAGTGTCCGACTGGGTACCACGGTCGCCATTGCACGAGCACGGAGACAGATTGTGTGAAGAAAGGCTGTCACAATGGAGGGACTTGTACAAATCGTTCCGTTGGTGCCAGTTCCGTTTATCACTGTATCTGTCCGGTGGGATTCTCGGGGGATCTGTGCGAGATCCGACCACAGGTGGAACTCTATGCTGCCACTTCCCCCTGTCCATACGATTGCATCCATGGACGTTGTTACCAACCTTCCTCTGCCGATTACATCTGCAAGTGCGAACCTGGATACTCTGGTAAGGGCTCTCCTCAAACTGGTATGCCATGTTCATGGATTCGGAACATCCAGGAGGATCCTCGCGTGTCGATACTTTCTATTACAGGGAAACGCTGTGAAACGCTGACGAGTGTGACGTTGTTGGAGGCGAATTCTTACGTGGCGCTTTCTCCGCTGCGGACGACGAACCCGAACGCGAACATCACGCTCGTCTTTGCCTCTCGGAACAAGGAAGGAGTCCTCATATACACGGGGCAAACTCAGCATCTCGCCGTCGAGCTCTTCCTCGGCCGCCTCAGAGTCAGCTACAATGTCGGCAACCATCCAGTCTCCATCATGTACAGCTTCGAGGAGGTGTGCGATGGGAAGCCGCATCGGGTGGAGTTCATCTCCGCTCAGAGGAATCTGAGCATGGTGGTGGATGGTGGGAAGATGCAGACGATCGTGAATGCAGGGCCGAAGGAATCCTTGGAAGTCTCCACACCTCTTTTCATCGGTGGGATCCCCCCGGAAACGGCTAACCGAGCCGTCCGTCACCACCATTTGAGGAATAGCACCAGCTTGCGGGGTGAGAACTATTAGCAGAAATCCCACATCCCTTCCCTTCCCATTATGAATAAGCGTATAATTATAGTATGATAATATCCCTCCGAAAATAACCTTGTTGGGAACTCATTGACATGTTGAACTCTTTGAGGCAGAGGACTAAAACTCGTTTTGGTGTGCGGGCCGCATCGCCAAGATCAGGCCTCTCTGCGGGCCAAAGTTTAAAATCGTAGAATGAATACTTTACCACTACCTAATATTATGTATATTGAGCCTAAAACGTTTCTCTCTCGGTGTACGCATTGAGAGCGCTTGCGAGCCGCATGTGGCCCGCGGGCCACGAGTTTGAGGCCCCTGCTCTAAGGTGTTGCGCATTTTTATCCTCGAGAGCTTTCACATACTCGTAGGTAAGGGAACTTTGGGGGTACGAGGGTACGAAATAAGGATGCTTTAGTAGCATTTATACACTGCAGACTGGATTGTAGATGGAATTTTAGGCTTTTCCTGCGGCCCTATGAGAAATGCTTTGCTTGGCACATGACCGTTCGCCAGGGTCGGATTAAGGGGGGGGGGGGGCAAAGGGGGCTGTTGCCCCGGGCTCCACTCTTCCAGGGGGGCCCCCGAGCTCTCTAAACTAAACGCTCCGTTGACGCTTTCTTTTTTCTCCTCTCTGGTACCAGGTTGCATCCAGGGGCTGTTTTTGAACGGGGCAGCTGTGGACATGGAGACGGCGTTGAGACAGCATCTCTTGGCACCTGGCTGTCAAATCTCAGCAGGAGCTGGGAGGCTCGTCCCATATACTTATCAACCATCTTCAGCAGTCAGTGTGAACGACCTCGGGAAAGAGGAATGGCCGAAGGCGGAAGGCAAGAACGAAGTAGAAGAGAGGGAAGAAGACGAGGATTTGGACGATGACGTCGACGAGGAGGAAGATACGGGAGGTCTCGAGGGCCAGGAAAATATGACCAAGAAAAACCCATGTGAGAACCATAAGTGTCACATGGGGAAATGTAAGCCAAGGGGGGATACCTACCGCTGCAGGTGCCGCGGAGGCTGGAGTGGAAAACTCTGTGATCAAGGTGAGAGACAAGCTTAACAAGAGAGACCGTAGAAAGAAACCGACAGACTAACCTCAGGCGGTCTGTGACACGGGACTTGCGATGTATATGGTCCGTCCATGTTTTCCTTCCCTCTAGCTTCTTTCATTGTGTCCTAATGCTTCTCCTTTCTCGGAAACACTGACCAGTGTGAGTAGATATTCTTGTATGTGCTGAAAAATAGGAGAGATGGTCATGTATAAATGTAGAGGTTTCTTCGAGTGCTCGTTGTCCTGGAGCTTACCTAGTAAATAGAATAGAAGCTCCCGTTCCATTTTTCAGTCCCAAGACGAATCATAAGGCCCTACTCATATCAGGAAAAAAGATGGAAAATTATAAGAATAGGTATTCTGGATTCCTATCATCATTGCGAACGAGACAGCAATTTGTTGCTTCGGGTCTCAATGCTTTGTCACAGAGTTTTCCTCTTCTGCACCTCCACACTGGCTCTCGTCATCTGTCCCGCTTTCAAAAATGTCTCCTCTTTTTATGCATGCATATCTTCTTTCTCCAGGTTCCCGTCACGGAGCTATTTCACATAGTGCTACCTTCAGGCGTAATCATTCGAGAAATTTTGAATCTGTTCCTTCCATCTCATGATATAAGTAAAGAGTCCATTAAATCGACGACAGTGTCAGCTGTCAAGGTTGCTCGGCGAGTGGCAACGATCCGTAAAGAGCTTCTCCACTTTTATATGCGTTGGATCGATGACTGTTCCTTTGATTTTCTTTTTTTTTTGCAACTCACTTCCACGAAACTCCTGAGTGCTGTTGTGGAAATCGATTTCTCTTCATCGTAGATCTCGTAATCTTTTGTTATCTCGTTTCATTCCAGCCCCAACCTGCCGGAAGGAGAAATACCGGGATTACTACAAGGAAAATGGGTGCCGGTCCCGGCGACCAGTGACAAATGCCAGGTGTCGAGGGAAATGCGGCCGGAGATGCTGTCAAGTGCGGAAGAGCAAGCGGAGACGTATCCGCCTCATCTGCAACGACGGTACAAGATACATCAAAGAAATCGAAGTCGTACGTAAATGCCGCTGTTCAAAGCAATGCTGAGTGAGCATGGATCTGCCGCACCCTTGTATGAAGACCAGGTTCTCATTTGGGCAAAACTAGTCAACCCCTTTCTGAGGAAATTCCCTGGATGACGATTAGGCCCCTGGTCGCACGCTTATAATACGGTTTCCTTAAAAAAAAAAATCAACAGACATGATCCATCCATCTTTGAATGTGCTCGAAGTCGTGAACGTGAAGAAAGAGAGAGAGAGATAGACTGCTGAGGCATGGAGTCCCCAAGATCAAAGCTAGAGGTTCAGTACAAAATATTCTAGGACTCGACCTCTTGTTGATGAGGATACGCTTTTTTTTCTCTTCGTTGTCTCGTGCCCCTGTTCGTTCAAACTAATGTCCTCGGTTTCATGCAATGAGTTCTCTATTTTAGCCACTTCATCAGCTGACTTCTTCATCCACTATTTTCAGCTGAATTTTTTCATTTTTTAGTTTGAATTCCATTTCTACCTCATGTGTGAGCTGAAACTGTTCTTGAGAATGTTTTTATTCCATAGAAATATTTGTCGGTGAATGAATCTGTTACTCATGCCTTAAGTAAAGTCTTTTTGTGATTTATTTTCGCAGTAGAACAGTGAAAACATCTCCGCATTAACCACTGGACCAATTACCTGGATCACAGGGGATAGTTCCTGGTTTTAATGTCGAAAATCTTTTATAAGAACCCAGAAAACATGAAAAATCAGATACCAATAAATGGAATCTGAAACGAGGTGATCCGATATACTTTTTCGGCTTCACTGTGTACTTGATAGGGATGAACTCCAAAAATGACGACATTCATTAAAGAATGAATGAACTCTCGTGAACTGCAACGCGCTACAAATGAGAGATGCTGTTCATCTCGTCCAGACTGCTCATCCCTCAAAAGGTTCCCAAAAAGTCAACGAAGTGGAGTTTTATGATGCCAACTATTGCCACATGTAGAGAGGGAGACGTCACTCTCGTGGGTCCCGAGGGAGTGGGCGATAGGAGATGATGCACAGCCGAATCTTCCCTAGCTGCAATCTCTCCATTCAAGTTCCACTCCCACGGGACTAGCTGGGCCGAGATGACCCTCTCTAAGCCCACGTATGCAAGATGGATTCAACTCCCATTGCTTGCTTCAGGCTCGTCGCTGCAGCCGTGTCTGAATATCAGAGACAGTTATTCAAGTCTCAAACGATTTTAAGCACAATGATCAAGACTCAGCCATATACTGTACAGGGTATAGAAGGCTACGAGATGTTGGAATGAGGGTTAAGCTTTTGTCAGAACCCTTGTCTGAACTATACAATGCCCTGCCTCACAATTTATCAAATCATCCCACTGCAAGTGTGCCAATGGTCAGCGCTCGACCTTATCAGGATTCAATTAAATTTAGCAAGCAGTTGGCTTTAGGGAAGAATAGCTGCCAAAAGCATGGTTCTCCAAGGAAAAGAGAGTTGAGATACTGGAGTTTGAAATTACCTACAGCGACAGAAATTGGCCGCAAGTTCTCAGATGCTAATTTTCTCGCTCAGAAAAGCAGTGATACCTGAAATTAAAGCTAAAAGGAAAGTAAAAAATATGTTAACATATTTAATGAGGGGGAGGAGGAATAATGCTTCATAGCAAAATCTTTAAATCGAAAGTCTCTGATATTTATATTAAAAAAAAACTTTTCTCAATTATTTCTCAATTATAGTTATGATACCTATGTTTAATTCAGGGCGACCGAGTCTGTGTTTCTGTTTGAATCAACATACCAACTAATTTTGAGGTGTTACGATTCCCTCATAATTCTTCCATTTCGAAATTGGACAGTTGATGATTGCATACAAATTAGTGGATGTACCAAAATGAAGTCGATGACGTGGGTAAGTTGAAATGCTGAAAATACGAGGCCATTAGTTCCAGTAGCAAATTTTATCCCGCCTCTCTTCAGTCGCAGAGACACTATACTGTTCTACCTGTGGGCATCATGTTCCGACTGGATGCCAAATTTAATTGAATTCTGAGATGGTCCAGCATAGACCATTGACACAATGGCGGCGGAATGACTCACCTGTAAACTGTGGAACATGGCATTGCATGGTTCAGACAAAACTTTAACCCTCATTCCAGCATCTTGTAGCCTTCTAATGTCGATCAGCTTATCTAACTGAGCTATTTTGTTCGCATTTGCGAAGCTACCTTTCTCCCATAGAAAACGATAGGCCATTTATTTTGAAGTACCTCATACATTACGTAACCATTGGAGAAAAAAAATCGAGATATTGATACCACGAAAGTCTAAGGGAGATTTAGCATGGGCTTCTAGGTAAACAAATAGGAGGCTTTCCAGGAATTGTTGACAAATGCCAACTCACACCGATCCCCATAGAAGCCCCACACTCAGAGAAATCGGTAAATCGAGACGATATACTTCGCTCAATTTTCGCATTTCGATTTATTTTTCTCAAGTGAAAAAGTCATCAACTGGATTTTCGATTTATATTTCTCGCTTTCCGACCGTGCCGGGTCGCCTAAAAGGCGTTTGCAAAACAGAAATGCGTCCATAGCCGAGTCGAGAGGTTTGAGCGGTCTTGCATCGTCTAGAGCAGTGGTTCTCAACCTGGGAAGTGTTACCAAAGACCTTATGCTAAGAAGACTGGGCACTCTGTGGCGGCGCCTTTGATGTCGGGGAAACCTCCTGCCCTGGTGTTTGGCCCCGGAACTACGCAGAACTGACCAATGGGATCATTGGATTGGAATGTCGCGTGAAATATGGCTGTCTCTGGATGCAAGTACTGCGCCTACGTACCACGCCAGGGGAAATTTGGCAAAATGGATGGAGATGTTCCGTTGCATCGGTTTCCCAAGGATCCGGTTGCAATGCAAGCATGTGTTCACCTAGGGCTTTGCACTAGGCCTATGGTCATGGCTTTACATATCATATATGTAACATGCGAATGAAGTAAAATGCTGAGTAACCTCAAAGACCCTAACGAAAAGGTCAACATTTTCGCATCTCGGATTGACAGGCCTGTTAGAATGGGATGATTTCAATTTTGAAGGGACAAAAACAGGCTGTGGATAATTATCTTGCAGCTTCGCTTTGGATTTACAGCCGTACTAGAGCGGCCTGCGACCGCTACGCTGGCCCTGTAATAGATTAAAAGTTTACCAAGATTTTTATGGCCTAGAATGGCATAGCCTTGCAGGCCTCGCGCGTTAGGAGTGACGCCCGGCACAACTTTCGGTCACTTTCAATTAAAGTATTAGATATTCGATTAGATTAGATGTTCTTGGGGTCCATTTGGGTTACAGCTGGCTTTAACTCGAGCACATTGTTGCTGACAGCTAAGGCAAAATGTTCTCGGCAAAAGATGAGATTACCATTGGGATTCAGAGATCTCCAGTTCATGAAAATAAAGCAGTCCGTAAATAAACAAAAAAATAAACTGATTCCTTGCTACATTGGTAACCTACGCAGCATGCATCGTCTTGCAATTCTGTCTGAATTCAAGAATCCTAGCCCCCCCGGGGAGATTCTCCGAACATTGTTTTCCCAACTCCTCTTCATGGTCTTCCGCCAGCCATGTCAATCAGTCACGCGCAATTGAAATGGCGTCAGACTTCGGGCGCGAATTCGTTCAAGAGACACTAGCGCTCTGCTCCAGGAAGCGTTGACGTTAGTTCGAGGGCCAACCACCAGGGCATAGACCGCCATTACGGTTACCCTGCTTTCGCGCAGAGTGTCCAGTCTTCTTAGTATAAGGTCTTTGGCACAAAGGACCATTCCTTCATTAAAAAAGAACGACTGAAGCTCAATTCCTCCCTCTTCATTTATTTTCTGCTTGACCTCCCCTCCCCCTTTCCTCCCTCTATCTATATTGTAGTTCGAGACGAGTAGAAAGCAATCCTTGACTGGCCAAAATAATCGGCACACAAAAGGCATAGGTTACCTATGGTGGACTCCAACGAACTAGAAATTAGAGAGGGTCAATGCATTTGGAGAACCATAGCCGCAAAAGGACTCATGGCGCTTCTTCATATCTCAGATTGGACACCGCAGGCCTCCGGCTGCAGTTCAGAAGTGCTTATTTGAAGTGCACAGAGAAGGCGAATAGGATTCTGGCTTCCATTCACTTTGAGGATTACGCCTTGAAGGATATCTCCTATCAAGTCCGCACTAGCGATAACATCTCCATTTGGTTTTGTACAGGGTGATCGAAAAGTTAGGGTGTACCGCGAGCATACATGAGTGTCCTTACCATTGGGTTTAATAAGATGCTGAAAATGGTCACCACCTGCAATTTGCTATGCACGAACACGATGAATCGTGTTACTAGATAATTTCAGCAGCCCATCATCAGAAATCTTGACAATTGCAGCAGTAATCGCTAACTGCAGTTCTTTCGCATGTTGAGGGTTATTTCTGTACACTTGTCCTCTTAAACCTCCCCATATGAAGAAGTTAGTGGAAGTTGGATCAGTTGATCGTGGAGGCTCTACTTCCTTTGAAGTATAGATTCTCCAAAAAATCTATCGACAGGTTCAGGGTAACAGCAGCCGTACGCTCAGTGGCTCCATAGTGTTGGAAGTATGAGTGGTTAACTCAATTCTCTTGCAATTGTCCGATGAATGGAAACAAAATGTTTGGTCTCTATGTTTCTCAGTTGAAGGTTTCTTTGAACATTATTTGTCCAATAATCCTAATACAAGATCTCTCGCGCCAGATCCTCCATCTTCTGATTATGTAATTGGTGCTTGCATAACTCTTGTGGATTTCTGAAGACCTATTGCGATTTTTTTTGGCAGTTTACATACGAGGTAGTTTGATTAATTAAATCATTTCTTGTATGAACTAAAACACCATATCCAGAATGTTTTCACGATTTTCACGAATAAAGTTGAAAAGCCATTAGTAATCCACATTTGCAAGTCGGTGAGTAGCAATTCCTGCGCAATTCTGACCTTGCATGGACGTAAAAGCAATGACTTTCGAACCGCCTACTAAATAAATAACGTTGCTGTCTGCTAAGATAATCATCGGATAGACTTTCGGATTCATTGCAAGTCGATCAGACACGTTGGCCAATGGATCTGGAATTAACACCGTAGGCTGAGCAATTATGGGTTCATCTGACACGAACCACTTGCTAGGAACATCTCACATGAATGGCACACAGAATTTAAATATGGTATGCCAATAGGTAGAAAGTCTCATTAAACTTCTGACCCACGTCTCCTGTATTGAGACTAATCTTGCGGAAAACAAGCTTGCCCAAATATGCACGGGCTTTTAATGTCAGCACTATCTCGGAATGTTCACCCTTACGCAGAAGATAAAAAAAAAACTGATGCAATACGTATGCACTCACAAGCAACTTCTGTGGGCAACTGATACAGCACGATGAAGCTGCTGAAACATGATTCATGTCGGCACATGTCTACATACCAGTGGTGGCCATTTCTAGCACTATTTATGACCAGATTGTTAGTACATTTATGCATGGTTGTATTGGACAGTAACTTTCCAATCACACTGTACATCCATTCAGAGTTCCGTTGACCTTTCAATTTCCACCGTTTGGTTATGGCGTTTCTTTACGTGATGCTTGTTATTCTTACACTAATAACAGTTTATAGTGTCAGTACCGACGGAATACAATTTTGTATTTCATTTACCTGAATACTGACATTCTTCGACATACACGGTAGGTCCAAACAATTAGACAGTTCTCAACAATATTGATGAAACAATGAAATATATTGAACTGAATGCATACATTTCATGTGATCTGGAACATTTGAAAGTGAAATGAATAAAACAGTGTTCTTATAAAATATATACCGTAGTTTCGAAAATACTGTCTCATATGAACACCAACTAAATGTACGTTGCCACAGGACTGGATATAGATGGAAATCCGCCGGTTGAATGTCATGCTGTCTGCGTCTGAGCGCGCGGCAGCACACTTTTAGTTTCTTGTACATATGAGGGTCCGAAATGTATGCTACTTTTGAATGTTTGAAATGTACGAACACCATTTTAAGGTAATTTATTCCTCTTGAAAATTCTGCATAATACATCAATTTCGTATATATGCAGTGAGTGAATTTCAGAGTATCATTTCAAACTGGCTTTTTTTTGCTCCATCATGTATGTGAGATTGAAGTTACAAATGGGACACTTGGCAAGAAACATGTCATGAAAAATGAGCATGCGTCGCTGATTCAGTGCTAATATTCGAGAAAATGAAATCGATCCGATGCAAAATTTTTCAGAGCATCAGAATTTGTTTAGCACGATCTGAAACTCGTTCTACCTATTTCATCTCTTCCAGAATGGGCAGGGGAAGCGCCTCAGGTTAAAGACGAGAAGAAGAAGGAAATCATAGCATCCCTGAAGAAAAATGGAGTGCAGTGGGAGCCAGAGAAGTGGCCCCCAGTCCCACTGGACACTCAGAGTAGTGGGGTAGGACTCCTGGAATCCCTTTCGCTAACTCTAACAGGATCACTCCTGCATCTTCCTCTCCTCAGGGTTTGTCAATGTCTTTCTGTTGCCCCTTTCTCAAATAATTTTCCTTGTTTGATGAAGGTTAAGGGACTGAGAGTCAAAATTGAGATAGAATTGAGAAACAAGCCAAAACGATTTTGAAATGAGCATTCTTCTTATCATCTATAAGAAAGAAACAGAAGTGTGGAAAGGACCTTGCGCCCTCCTGCAGTCATAGCATGACAGAACCGCATTTGTCTATAATAGGTGTACAACCATTCTCATACAACCACCCTACTTACGGTGTGAGTAGAGTGGAGTGAAGGAGTTCTCGAGAGCAAGAGACAAAAACCTCTGGCTTGGAATGAGCACACACAGAAAATTCAGTGCCTCAGTTGGATGCATTTTTCTGCGAAAAAAATTGTCCTTCATGTGATGCGTTTTATCGTATCGAATTTTGCATGCGATGAAAACGCATTACAAGGAGGTCTACTTTTTTCTCGACCGAAATACATTAATATGATTATGCTCGTATAGGTCAGGGTTATTATACACTTCTGCCGCATTGAACATTTCGTGATGAACTTCAGCCATATCGAAATTTGCCTTGTATGTCTCGAATTGTAGCAACACCAAAAAAATGTAATGCGCTGTCCCCATATGATGCACTTGGCATGCCTGATGTAGAATCCGCTTGAAATTGTTTCTGGCAGAAGCAGTAGGACCTCACAAGACCCAGGTTTAACTCAGGCTTAATGCTGTAATTCACTCCGTAGATGTCATCATTTTGGACAGCTATTCTTTCCTTAACATACATCAGGCCATGTGGGGTCGCTTTTGGACCTCATGCAGGACTTTAGTAATGAAATGCCTGAATTTGCAGGAAAGACTTTACAATTTGAAAAGGCATTCAAATGAAATCCACTGAACAATAATTACATTGGACATATGGCAAAAAAATGCATCTGATGTCCACTGAGAAATTTCCGAAAAGGCCCAGTGAAGCTAAATACATCCCATCAATGTTTTAAACCAGAAGCATCACATCATAGAATTAGATGGGCCCATCAATATGGTATATGGAAAAATAAGTTGTTCTCACGACATGATTTGCCCAATGAAACCAGAAATGGCTCCATTTCCTCAGAAATGTATTTTATTTAATGCAAAGCCAAACGGAAAAACAAACTGAGAATATTGCACATATTTATTGAACAGAAAAACACATCTTTTTTCCATGGTAACTATGAACATGAGAGCAGTTACATTTCAGTTTCCTGCTTAAATGAAATGATGAATAGGAAGTAAGTAAATATTTCTTTGGGATTGCTTCAGTTTTGCCAAAAATCACTTTATTGGTTGACACAATACAGCCGCTGTAAAGTTGAATCGGCATCTCCGCAATGCTTCCAATGTCATCATATTCCATTGTGGGAACTGAATGTCAAATACCCTAGTAGCACATAACATTGAATGAACATTGATTCAATGTTGATACAACACCCGGATGTTGAATCAACATTGAATCCATGCTCTTTCAATGTTATGTGCTACTAGGGTATGAGGAAAGAGCACAGAATGATGAAAGCATTGCCCGATGCAAGGCCACTCAGACCACTCTCTCGACGCGGCAAAAGACGCATTTTGATTTTCCAAACGCCTTTCAGGCGAGCCGACACGGTCGGGAAGCGAGAGATATTATTTGAATCTTCAATTGTCTCTTTCTCTTTCTCTTGAGAAAAATGAATCGAAATGCAAAAATGGGAGAAGTATCCTGCAGATCTGATGGAGTTTTGACTACCTGTTCCTGAGAGGGGAATGAATTACGTTATTGATGACCAAAATGTAAAACGCGTGGGATTTCGAAAATGTATAGGGACTTTCCAGCCGCTCTTTCAAGAACGTGTTAGCGACAGAAAGATCCACCAATCAAGAACGACTTGAATGTCTTCGGAGCAACGTCATAGGATTCGATTATGTCTGTCATCACTTGAGCAGTAGATGATTCACGTTGTTTTGCGGAAGCTGGCTCCTAATTTAATCGCAATGTCGAAAGCCTACCTGTTACTTCGAAGAACGGGTAGACATTAAACTTCTTGCTGTAAAACTGGAATTTACTCTCTTTCAGAGATCCAAAGACGAGCTTCACGAATTTATAGACAACCCATACTAGCTTGGGATACATGGCGCGTCTTCAATATCTCTCCTTAGACGCAATGAAAATGTGGATGTTCTCCTGTCTGTCACCAAAGTTCAGCTGAAAGCCCTAGTATTCCTCAAGAAACCCCAATTCAGTAGCTAAAATCTTGTGAAAATGCATGAAAACCGAATATCTATGGATTTGCAAGTTTACTACATTGCACCTTAGCTCTGGATGACCGAGTCAAAGATGTCGTTTGATTGGAGGGGCCTAGGATGCTGCAGAAAGGCTCCATACAATTTTCTTTTATGTGCAACTTTTCTAAGGATGACTTGTTGCCAGTTAACAGCTAACTGCGAATCGGAGGAGACTTCAGCAGGTAAATTTCCGTGGAGAGATAAATCGAACAGAGAAAGTACCATTTATTTTGGGTAGCATCAAATCTGGAAACTGTTCAAAAGGAAATATCAGCTCCAACGGTTGTCTGTCATGCAATGGATATAAGAAGTGATTTATGAGGCACCTTCCTAGGCACCTCCGTTGCATTTAATTCACCAGCCATTCTCAGAGCACGGGTAAGTTTTTTGGAGACCCTAGATCTACTGGCATTTGCTGCTGAAATCGTGTAGGAGTTTTATTTGGTGTTCGATCAAATTATTCATGTGATATGATTTTGACGTTTGCAGATTTCAGGTATTTGAGGCTCATGGCTTTTCGTAATTGTATCTGGTCAAGCAGAAGCTTCTTGAGCATGAAGATCCTCAGGACACTCCTAGCCTCATCCAGAAAGCAGCAGAGATCCTTAGAAGACCGATTGTCCTTATCGGGGAAAAATTATCTGGTGAGTCTGAATATTTTACTCATTTCTTTTGCTTCACCTCAAGAAATAATCCATAATCGTATTGGCCGTGCTTGGAACGTATCATTATTAGGAGTAGAACAAAGAAATATATATTTCTAAACTGTAAAGTCGTCTGATGCAATCGAATGGGGAAATCCAGAATGTAAGCTAAGATCTAGTAAATAATCACTCAAAGTCTTTATGAAATCAGTACAGTATTTCCAAGCGTTTTCTGATTTGTGTCCAACAATTATGACAACTGTTTGCGATTTGCCTAGCCGTCGTGATGACGCGAAAGTACAGAAGCCGTGAATACGCTTTAGTCTATTTGGACGACATACACAACCCTCCAAAAAGTATCCAGACACCCGTCGGTTTCACATTGACGTCACTGCCACCCACCTCAATAGCCTGTATGTCCTCCTTTGGCTGCTATGACACACTCCACCCTCCGGGGTAGGCTTTCCATCAACGAACGATGGACTGCAGCCGGTATAGTCCACCATTCCTCCTGCAGAACAATGACCAGTTCAGCTACCGATGTGGGACGTGTTGGTCTGGCCCTCAACCGACGTTCCAGTTCAGCCCATAGATGTTCGATAGAGTTCATATCGGGACTCTGTGCCGGCAAATTCCAACTTTTGTGCATTCATGTCCACGAACCATTGCCAACAACACCTGCGTTAGGGCATGGGGCATTATCCTGTTGAAACAAGCATGGGTCTGTACCAAAGATCTGCCGCATCGTAGGAAGCATGGATGAAATTGTTCAAAGTGTTAAGGTAGGCTTCAGCTTTCATGGTTCCTGGCACAACCACCAAAGGTCCCAGGCCATGCCATGAGAAACAACTCCGCACCATAACATCACCTCCTCGAACTTCATTGTGGTCATAATGCAATCCGGCATCAGACGTTCTCCAGGCATCCGCCACAACCACACCCGCCCATCCGATTGGATAGGGTATAGTGAGATTCATCACTCTGTAGAACCGATTTCCACCGCTCTATGCACCAATTACGGCGTTGTTTGTACAATGCAATGTGAGACTGCTAATTGCGTTTGGGAATGTTTGGCTGATGTCCCGCCGCTCTCCCATGAAAGTCGAGTCTGTGGAACTCCGTATGTAGGGTACTCATACAGACCTCAACCCCTATCGATTCCTTGAACTCCTGGTTGATATTTTGCAAAGAATGTGTTTCGAGATTTACGTGCCACCTTTCCGATTACCCTCCGGTCACATAGAGTGAGCTTCCGTGGTTTTTCTGTGCGTTGTTGAACGGTGGTGGTACTGTCATGATTCCATTTCATGATAACATCACCGACGGTCGACTTTGGAAAGTGCAGGCTATTTCGTAATTGCACGAATCGACAGGCCAGCGTTGTGACATCCGACAATAATTCCCCTCTCGAAATCAGTCAGCTCGTCTCCACGTACCATGACAAGAACCACTAAATTGTGGGGGTCATACGTCTTCCTTATATACCGATACTAGTCACGCGTTTCGACGAGAAGGTGCATTGGACTATGAAACCAGGGGTGCCAACGACCCAACCGGCGGGATCATTGCGATTCCAGAATAAGCAATCATTTACGGTGTTCTCTCAAAGCTCTGCGTATGAACCGCTTGGACATTGTATGTCTTGCGCACCTCCACCCCATCCCCCTCCTATTCACGGAGGTGACGAGGTCACGATACGACTTTTCCGGATCCCGAGAAATAAATGGGTGGAGATCTTATCCCCGGCGAGAAAGTAATCCTTTCTCAAGGTATGAAAGGGGACACCAAGTGTGATACGCTGGGATTTTTACACATCCCTGCGAAAAATTCCGTGCATGGAAACATGGAAGGTGGGGGGCGGAGGCATGCATAGAATGCCTTTCTCTCCCGTGGTAGTGTTAGGGATGGCATGGAAATATATAATTTACTAGCTCTGGTTGCGCCTTCGGCGCTCCATTACCTTGGAGAGTCATTAATTAATTTATTCCTTGCGAAATGGCAAACACGTATTTAAAGTACGTCCCCATTGAAATACGTGAAATATGGGGACAAAAGCCTTGATTTTTATCAAAATCTTTACCTATATGATTTATATTGTGCGTAACTTAAATCTTTTCTTGTGTCCCTTTTTGTAAGGGTGGAGAATAAATTTTGAAATACTTCCCTCCTATAATCTACGCTAAGGGAACATTTTCAAAAGTAGGATTTCTCCTCTATTCAGCCATCAAACAGGCACTTCTGAGAGATGTCTAAATTTTCTGTTTCTGTTTCGTTGGATCAAAAACAAATTCAGGAAAATGGGACTGAAAAAATGCCCGGATGGGTTTTAACAAAATATTTTTTCTTACGAAATGTAGAATCAAGGAACTCCATGCCACCAAATTTCAGCTTAATTCGTTTCCTGCTGGCAGAAAAAATTTTCTTGGAATAACGGAATAATGGAAAGCTGCGCTCTGAGGAGACGCAGAACAATAGTTGACTTTCTCCTTAATTTAACATCACGGCTGTTATGCGTGCGCCAGCTACTTTGTATTTCTGCCCGATTCGGTAAGATATGAAAAATTCTTTAGAAACGTTATATTCCCAAGAAATATGAACCCCCAAAAATATTTTGGAAATTAATTTTTATTCTGAAATGCAAACTCAGGGAACTCCATGCCACCCAGTTTCAGCCTGATACGTTTCCCCTTTTGGCTGGCGGTAAAAAAAAAAGTATTTTGAAAATCAACCCATCAAAAAGCTGGGGTCTGGGGGGACTCTTAGCAAAAGTTGCATTTTTTCTTAAATCAACATCACGTCCATTATGATTGCGCCAGCTGCTATTTTTCTATTTCTGCCCGATTCGCTAGGACAGGAAAAATCTTTTGGAAACGTTACATCCCCTAGAAATATGCCCCCCAAAAATATTTCGGAAATTCGACATTTGACATTTGAGCTGAGATCTTCAAGAGTCATGTTCTTGCAAAGGTTACAGCTTTCCATGGGTCTCCGTTTAATTGAAGCAAAAAGTATTATTTGTAAGTATGTTCCCTGAAATGGTGTGCCCTTATGGTGTGCATCACCAAAAGTGGAATATTTCCTGAACTCAGCATGTGAATAGCTACTTAAGAGGGCCACTCAATAAGTTATCTATCTGAATATGAAAGGGATGAGCAACAGGCCTGTGCCTGCTGTGACATATCTCGACAGGTCTCGTGAGTGCCCCACCACTATACCAGCTCAGTGGCTCCAGTCCGTTCAAAGTGGTAGCGCATTAGATTTCTTTTCCTGAGTCTGTGTCATGGATTTGACGAAAGTTGAACATCGTTCAGTGATCAAATCCCTCACCAAAGAAGGGAAAGCACCTAAGGAGATTCATGAACGTATGTTTAACGTTTATGGTGTGTCTTCGCCTTCTTATCACCAAGTTAAATTTTGGAGCAAGCAGTTTAAGTAGGGAAGAGAGTCAATCGAAGATGACCCAAGGTCGGGGCGCCCTGTGGAGGCTTCTGATCAGGAAATGTGTGACAAATTGGAGAGTGCGATACTAGAGGATCGTCGCACCAAAGTCTCTGTTTTAGCTCATGAACTGGGGATTTCAGAGGGCACAGTGATTCACATCATTCATGAAAAATTACACATGTCCAAAGGCAGTTCTCGATGGGTCCCAAGAATGCTGACTCCAGCTCAGAAGAAGAACAGATCTGACATCTGCAAGGAAAACTTGGAGTTTTCTGAACAAATCGGGGAAACTTTTTTTCCCAGAATAGTAACTGGTGATGAAACTTGGGTTCATCACTGGGATCCCGAAACCAAGCAAAAGTCCATGCAGTGGAAGCACGAGGGATCGCCAACGCCTCGCAAATTTCGTGTTCAGAAATCTGCAGGAAAGATTATGGCCACTGTGTTTTGGGACGGCGAGGGACTACTGCTGCTTGAGTTCATGCCAGACGAGTGTACAATCACTGGCAATTCCTATGCTACCACCATGAAAAATTTACATGATGCCATCGAGGAAAAACGCAGAGGAAAGGTGTCAAGGGGGGTCCTTCTTCTCCATGACAACGCGCCCGTCCACAAAACGCACCCCATGAAAGAACGTTTACTGCAGAATGATCTCTGTATAGGAAGACTGCAGTGTGACCAAATGTGCATAATATGAAAGGAGATAACATTAGCAGTTAACATTGAACATTGAGGATACTGGCACTGCTCCTCCCCCACCCACCGTCCCATACCTGGATGCAGTTACAATTAGCGGCAGCAAACTTGCTTTCATGAACAATTAGTTTTAGTAAAGTTGTTATGGTTCTCCGATCCAGGAGGAACCTCTCCTCCTAACCGGTAGCTTGAGTCACAACATATTGGTCAATGTTACCGTCAATTTCATTTATTGCCTGTCATTGATGTATGGCATGAAAGGAGAGAGAATAAACGCCAGAAGGACGGCACACTGGTCGAGGGGACTTTCAGAACCAACCTTATGACCAACCTTATTTTGCATTTTTGAGCTTTTTCGTGACTGTGATTTTCATGATTTATAAGTTGTTTCATATTTTGTATAAATTTACCATACCATACCATATATTATATATTATACATTATTCAAATAACTGAATATTACAAATCTAATGGGTGAAGGAAGACCTCTGACAGAACTGAGGCATGTATAATTCCGACCATTCTAGCGTAATATGAAGCGCGAAGTCAAAAGAATCCTTTAAAAAATTGTAGTAGAAACAATGTAAATGTAATGTTCATTGGAATGGACGCCAAGTCTGAAAGGGTTAAGATTCTGAATCAATTACTACTAGTACGCCTTTCAATCCGACAGCGTCTGTTAGATGGACATTCCTAATCATTAAATGAATTAGAAATAAGGAAATGTCTGAAATGTGTAATCCCGAGGGAAGATGTAGACGCTTACGATCCGAGAACCAGAGGCCCTAGGGATCACTTCGGGCATTTATCCTATAGATATCTATTACCATCTCTGAACTCCTTGTTCAAACGAAAAAGGGGAGGAACCTCAATCCACAGGAGGGTTCTGTCGTAGGGCGTGGACCATTGCTTCTTACTAAAATATCTAAATCAGGATGCATGTAAGCCTTCGTCAGTAATCCACGGTTGACAGTAAAAAATTAAGGGAAGTAGCCAAGGACTAATTATTTGTACATAAAGGGTTTCGCCAGCACGAGCTTGTTGGCTGAGATCAAGCGTGACCCCTAGTGGAATAGAATCGTAACGAGACTTCCATAGTGTGGCTCACAAAGCGCTGCTCCTCCAACATACGTATCCGAGAACTTCTAAGTTACTAGTTAAAGAATAAATAACTTACGTAGTTCGGAGAAGAAATTTAACCAGTACCATCCCCGTCAGTGGTGTAGCAGTGATTTACGTAAGGTACGCAACTCAGCCCAACAAGCAAAAAAGGTTCGTCACAACCTCTACCTCTCCTGGGATTTTTGCGCAATTTAATTCGGTTCCCTCTCCTTCCAACTGCTGCTAACATCGCACTGGAAAACCTACCACTCTCGATATTATCGATTCCCTTAAAGGAGGTCTCCCCTCACAAACCTTCTCATGAGTGAGTACAGTCTTAACGCTTCTCATGCGGAAGTCCCCTAACCTTCTTGATCATTCTCTTGGCTGGCCTCTGAACCCTTCCGAACGGCGTTATATTAATTTTATTTGTAGGCCTCCCAAGCTGAACGCGATACTTTAAATAAGGGCTTACCAGCGATGTATATCATGAAGAATAGAGCTCGAGGATTTGCTGGCTATAGAAAGTCGGATTGTGCCTAGAATCATGTTACATTTAGCTACCGTCGCTTTCTCGTACGAGAACTTGAGGTGAACCTAGTCTATATTAATCCCTAAAGTTTTCTCTCCGTTTACCTCCTCAGGCTCATCGACGCCGAACTTATTAAGAGACCCACCGTTGTTATGACCGATGTGAAAAACCTTACACTGACTTTTCTTAAACCTCATGAGCCATTTCTTACTCCATTCCACTGGATAATCAAGGCATATACAAATCCTTCACTGCCCATCACATTGGCCTTGAGCATTTTCTGCAACTCGTTTTTAAGAGGGTGCAGGCTGTCCTTGGATCGTGCTCATCAAACTCATGATCTTCCGACTCAGTTACTGCTTTCCTCATGATGAAGCCCTCCTTCAAGTAAATATACTAACTTGGAATTCCCCAGCGAAAAATTATTATTTACTAGATGTATTCCTGCTACAACTCTCTTAAAGTACATAATTAACGTTTTCCAGGCACCTTCTTCCCAAGAGGGACGGGTGGGAATGAGGACCTGCAAGGTATGCTACTCTTCGCTCATGAAGATGCTCAACACATCTCCATCCTCCCTGTTGTTCCCCAACGCAGTGAGTCATCTATGTTATATCTCTTACCAACTGCATTTGCAATTTGGACAGTCAAATATTATGCTTATAAACGTTTAAACTACAGGTACTGTGATAAGCAAAGTATTCCAGGTAAATAGAAAGATAGAAAGAATGGGAAGTGAAGCTGCTCCCCAGTAATGGATTATAACTGAATGAATGTTACTTTTGAATATTCCCAGCAATTAATATCACATCTGAATATTGGAATATTGCTTCTTCTGAACAGTGATTCAACATTTCATGGAAATCGACACAGTTCACATAGCAATAGAGGCTTATTTGCAGTTTTAATTTATGACACGTTCCTATAATCTCTATAAATGACACTGCTGAGCGTTGAAGGAGAAGCTTTCCATCAACGTTGGTTTGTGGCACTGGAGAGGTTATTCGCCGTCTCCCATCGGATTGGCATACTCCATGACGTTACCAGAAATATCGTTCACAAATGCCATTGAAGAAGGTATCATTGTATCCCATCAGATGAATGTAAAAGTTTGCCACGAAATAAACTTAGAAGTTGCATCTACTGTGGCTTATCTGTCTTCGACTTGCGAGTGTGTTACCTTGACGACCCATTCATGTCCAACCGGGTTTGATTTTCCCGTGTATTTTCAATATTCATTTTAGGTGTGATACTTTCATTGATATTTTTTTTGTTACATGTAATGGACTAAGAAAATCAGTTACAACATCCTATTTTTCAGCCTGGAAATATCTCATTGGATGACTCATAAAATAATTATTAAATGTTGGTTACCTAATGACGCCGTTGCGCTCACAACTTGATCCGACATCCACTCCATGTCAATGACACTCACAAGAAGGAGAAGGGAAACACTGACCTCAGCAAATATCGCAAAGATGATTGAATGTTCCTTGCCATCATATGCGGTCGCTAAGTGGAACGTCAATTTTTCAATAATGAAATTTTATCATTTTTCTGTCATCCTTAAAGATATTTCAAGACTGAAAAGTAACATTTTATATCTGAACCTTTCTTTTTTCCATCACACGTAACCCTTGAAGCAATCACATCTAAAATAGGCGTCGAAAAAATAGTGCCCTTTTTTTGAGCCACCCTGTACTTCCAGCCATGCATACATGTATGTGTATTTCTATGCGCAAACCTGGGATAATCAGTTGGGGCAGGGGAGGCAAGGGAGGCTCGGCCTCCTAAAAATTATTAGGAGACCCTTCCCCAAATAATTAAAAATAAGCATGAATATAGCAAATAGAAGGAAATCTCAGATAATGATTGAATTAATTCTTAATTTACACAAAACGAGCGAAATTCCTCTCTGGCAGTTTGCACCAAAGTGTATGGAGGCCTCCACAAGCTCATTGACAATGCACAGGGACATCCCGCAGCAAGAGCAATACAATAGTGAACTAGAGCAGGGAGGTCGGCCTAGCCGTCTGCATTGGGCCTGGGCCTACTAGCAGAAGCTAACTTTCCTTTAGGCTCCTTTGCCTCAAGTAGAGAGCTTTTCGATCATCCAAATTCACATTGCCCATATATAGGGTGTATGACAACTCCCTATTTTGAAATGTTTGTAATTCTTTCTTTTTTTAAAGAAATTCAATGAAACGAATTGTGAATTATGCACCAATGAGAGAGATTTTTTCGTTTTTGCTTTTATTTCAGGTTAAAGAATGCCTAACAGACTAGCAGTTTAACAAAGGGCCATAATAGCTGCCTGTTACCAAGTTTGGGGATCAACAATTAATGTTCGGCGATGGTGGAGGGTTGAAAATGGTCCTCATGCAACACTGGATGCAAATATTTGGAAATAAATGTCATTCAAAGTTAATGACAACCGGTTCAGTAACAGACAACACCAAATCATGACGACCACCAACCTCGCAAACAACTGAAAACATTGAAAAGTCGAACGCAATATTGACAATAATTTTGGTGAATCAGTTTGTGTAGGCATTCATTCTTACTGAACTAAATGAAATCTCAATGAACTTGAATAAATCAGCAATGCACTTCATAACGTACCTCGAGACATGTTACAATCAGCCATGGGAAACATACCTGTTCTCTTAAAGAAATATGTTAATAAGGATCTTCATTGGAAGTATGAAGATTAGACAAATACCTCAGTAACTTAGCATAATTCACAGTTTCTTTCATTATATTTCGTTAAAAAAATAAGTTACAAGCATTTTAAAATGGGGATTTACTCATCATACACCATGTATATATACGCAGTTGCCATGGATTACCCGGTAAACGAACGGAATCAATAGGCGCGGTATCGTCTATTACCCTTCTTAAACCCCTATCACAACAAAGTTCAGCCTCCTACTAATCCCCTCTGAGAGCGTCAACAGAAACGAAGTTTGGTATGCTTTTTCCTCTCTCAGTACACACTTTCTCCAACTAACTTTAAGCCCCATCTCCCCGGAGTTGTGGAGACCACTGAATCTCGAATTTTGATTATGTGAATTTCTTTCCGTATTATTCCTTCCGTCTGATTTTTTTTTCTCCTTACCTCACTCCTGGGGAGTTTTGGGAGGAATGAGGTCAAGCAAACGAAAGATATTATCAGACTTATAGGTGACGACAAGTGTCCTTGTTTCTTGCGGTGCCCCATTTCACCATAAGAAACGAAATTAGCTCCCGTTCATATTGACTTAGTGTGCTTGATACAGTTCCATCTCCCAGTGTCGCTGGATGCCTAGCTGAATAATTGCCAGATTCATGACTGCTTTGACCTTCATATCAGTGCCATGATCGTTTTTATGCATAGGACTTTTGTGCTGAGTTCATAGGTTGTGCTGAGAATGAAGTTTTCCTTAGCAGTGGCTAATCGATATGGTGGGATGTGGAGTAATCTTATTCAGACATCTTTGAATTAACTGGATGGCGCGCATCTTGGACTGCATGCTTCTGGGAGTAGTGCATTTTCATTCCCTCAATGAAGAAAAACTGCACTCAATAGTCACAGTATTATGGTGATGAATGAAGAAGTTACTCAGAAATTATAAGGAAATTCCCAAACTTTCTGAATGCCCTTTGAAACTGTTATTGGCCATCTACATTATCTTCCATAGTAGCTATCCCATTCTGTAGTTTTCTTCAGAGATAACTATTAATTTCACATGTTTTCAATGCTTCCTTGAAACTATTCCTGAGCAGAAGTCTAGATATTTAGATGTTGGACAATTGCTTCAGGAGTTTTCATAGATTTTGACATGATTTCAAAGTTGCTTGGAGACCATTTAATTTATTCCATTTTATTCCATAAAAAAATTGCATTTTCCTTCTTTTTCTCTTAATTGTTAGTCTCCTCCCCACCCCCTCATTTCCACTTTCATATTCTCAGGAAGTGGAGAAATATGGATGACAGGGGATAAGCTCCCCCAGGTGTCTGGTGAGGGGCGACTCTCTTCAGACAAAAGAATCTTATTCCGAGGGAAAACGAAGGTGACGTGGCAGAGGCACACAGTCACCATGTTATGGTCCATGGACAGGAAGTTAGCAGGATTAGAACCACTCAGCCCAGGTAAGTAGTAGGTCATGGTGTCTGTCTCCCAAACTCCCAACTTGCAACCCTAGCATGTTATGTCTTGTTGGGGAAACCAAGCGATACAAAGAATTACGGGCATAACCATTACCCAACTGCGGTTAACACAAATCATGTTAACATGAAATTTGACATGTGACATATAATGCCTGGATCACAAAAAAATACTGATTAGGTCCAATTAATGAATGTGATGATCCTGACCTTTTAAGTGTAATGCTGTCATTAATTACACATGGTTAGAGGTGTGATACAAAAACTCCGGTACTGACACAAAACACGTGAGCATGATACTATAAATGCTTTTTTATAACTCTTGCATCAGTAATTTTGCTAGCCAGAGAGGGAGATGGGTTCATATATCCGTCATATGCAATGGTTAAGCCTACACCCTATGGAGAAAGTGTTTCCCTACTCTCCCATGTTTTCAGATGAATTCATCAGGAGACAAACAACATGTGCTAGAGTTTTATCTGTCATAAAACCAACCCAACACAACATTACCTAGCCTAACTTTAGATGGAAAACACTATCTCAATGGGGGATGCACTTATTGTGCACATCATCGACCTTCAACCACTTAAGACTTCAATTTTGTTCAGGGCTAATAAATTGACCCAACATGCTAGAGAAATAGACATGAACATAAATCTCATGTAACCATCCCCATGTTCTTCAGTCATTACAACGTTTCTAATGACAAGAAGATCCACAATTACAAATCATATGAATTAATCATGGCCTATTTCAAAATAAGTGGTCTGATCAAAAAGTTCCAGTACTTTCTTGATTAAAAAAAAATAACCGCTTTATGTGATGGACTAGGACTAGTGTAGGTGGGAGTGGGGGGGGGGGTAACCGCATGCATGGTGAAACCTCCTTTGCGAGAATCACGAGTGTTGAAATCCGGTCGTCTCTGTGCTCCTCGTTGAATTTGCGATCATGCATCCTGATGCATCATGAGGTTGTCCCACAAGGTTGTCCCACAGTTAAACAGGCTTACTGGAAAGATGTTTTGACCCATCTGCGAGAAAAAAATAGAAGAAAACGACGGCTACTTTTCCAATATGAAGCTTGGTTTTTGCATCACGACAATGCTCCAGCCCACACTGCTCTCACAATTCGAGAGCTTTTAGCGAAAAAAAGAAATTCCTATGTCGCCCCATCCTCCCTATTCACTGGACATGGCTCCGTGTGACTTTTTTCTGTTCCCCATTCTTAAATTTCGCGGGAAATAAAAAGATTTGAAGGCATGCAAGTATCAAGGAAAATGCGACGAGACAGCTTAAGTGTCTTACACTCCAGAACATCCAGCACTCCTTCCAGAAGTTGCAGGAGTGTTGGGATAAGTGCATAGCATCGAGGGGGAAATACTTTGAAGGAGACAACAAATAATTTTAATTTACTTATGAAAAGTAAAGTTTACGAATATAATTACTGCAACTTTTTTTTAGCGGACATTGAATGTCAATTTCTGGGAATTTTTGGAAATATAGAATACAGAAAGTCCCAAAGAAATAAATTAACCAAAGCAAACGCCCTCCTCACCCATCTGTGAATTATATTAGTAGCCTGACTTTCGTACTTTTGTAGATTAGAATA